TATGTCTGTCGTGATCTATCATCTCTGAGGAACTTATAAAAGAAATATGTACATCATGGGGTATATATCGTCACTCTAAATCTTGGCGTTTTGCTGGCTCTGGAACTCCTCACTGAACGGCCAGGTAATGTAGCCCTCCTCCTCTCCGGCATTGTAAAACTTGTTGCGGTCGTACGGGGTCAGCTCGATGCCCTTTTGGACGCGGAAGGGCAGGTCGGGCGTGGAAATAAAGTGGCGCCCAAAGACGATGACGACGTCCTTGCCCTTGTACTCGTCGTCGACGGCGCGCTTGGCGCTCTCGGGCGTGAAGCCGCCGGCAATGAGCACGGGCGACACATTGTCCCACTCGTCGATGAGAAAGTCGACCTTTTCCGTGGTCTCTATCGTGGCGTTGCCCGAGATGCGGGCCTCGACCAAGTGCAGGTAGGCGAGCCCGAGGGCCTTGAGCTTGCGGGCCAGGTCGGTAAACTGGGGGATGGGGTCGGCCATGCGCATGCCCTGGAACGTCGAGTAGGGCGACAGGCGGATGCCGACCTTGTCGGCGCCGACGGCGTCGACCACGGCCGAGGCCACCTCGACGGCGAAGCGGGAGCGGTTCTCGACGCTGCCGCCGTAGGCGTCGGTGCGCTGGTTGGCCGTGTCCTGGTTGAACTGGTCAATGAGGTAGCCGTTGGCGCCGTGGATCTCGACGCCGTCAAAGCCGGCGGCGACGGCGTTGCGGGCCGCCTGGGCATAGTCGGCGACGAACGACTTGATCTCGTCCTGGGTCAGCTCCTGGGGCACCGTGGCGCCCTCGGCCTGCGGGATCGCGCTGGGGGCCTTGATCTCGATGCCCTCCTTGGCGGCATTGTTGGGGTCGGCGACGCGGCCCAGGGCCCAGAGTTGCAGGTACATGAAGGAGCCCTTGGCGTGTACCGCGTCCGTCACTTCCTTCCAGCCGGCGATTTGCTCCTTGGTCCAGATGCCGGGGACGAGGCCGTAGCCGCCGGCCTTTTTGGAGACGAGAGTCGCTTCGGAGATGATGAGGGTGCCCGGGGTCGAGGCGCGTTGGGCGTAGTATTCCTTGACAAAAGGCAGCGGCACATGGTTTTCATCTGCCCGGAACCGGGTCAGAGGGGCCATGGCGATACGGTGCTGAAGCGTGACATTGCCCAGCTTGAGGGGCTCGAATAGGCGTGATGCAGACATGGTGTGGAAATGTATATATGTGTGTATAGGTTTTGTGTTATACACTCTATTGGCGCTGTCGTAAACACTGTCTATGGATGATCGTATTCATTTTCATCTTGAGGGGGTTTCCCTACATACTTATATACTTGGTAGTATATACAAATTATTAATCAGGTTAATGACCTCATGCAAGACTTTTATTCCACCACATTCGGTCCCTCGACTCGGGCAATGAGTGGATACCGGCCGGACGCATCATAGTAAATCTCTCGGTCCACTCAAGCCCCTGACTTTGTTGTCGGCCACACTAGATTTGGGCGGTGCGGCCAAGGTGCGGAAAAGATGCCCCCCAATCAACGTGTGAGCTATAGTCGGGCCAGGTACCCATGTAGGCATTGGCATTTTGCGACTCTCTGGTTCCCTACAAATGTGAGTGAATAATCATATAATTATAAACCCGAGGTCGAGCATTTTCTTTTGCCGAGTTCAATTTGTAAAACTGCCTTGATTTCGTTTTCTTGATTCCATTCGAGTCGGGCTCGCATGATGACAATGCGTCCTTTGCGCCGTCGCTGGACCAATGGTGTGAACATCGGGGTTTGGAATCTTTGGAATACTACCTACCAAGCATATGATGAATAAGCCATTCTCGGCCTCTATATTGCCCGCAAAACACGAGCGGTCGGCCCCTGGCCTAGTGCGTGATTGATAATCCGCCACCAATTGCTTTGTATTCACTGCGACAGAGGTATCGGCATGGTTGGTGTGAATAGAAATTGCATCATCATTTTTCCCGAATAGATAACAGCAAAAGACTTGATAGTACCAGAAACCCTATAGAAGTCCAACCGGCCTCATCCTGGCTCTTGTGCAATATACAATTGCCAAGAATGATCTTTCAACTCAACTAGAACAGAATCTCTCCAATCAAATGGTCGTGCTACCAGATTAAGCTCATAGTTGTTGCTTACGAATTAGCGACCAGGACAGATCTGATCGTTCTATTTCAGAAGATCTCGAACGAGCACGTGGGTTCTTAGGAATATTTGTTATTGCTTGGTATGCCTTGTGGTCGCGTGGCTCCAACTTAAAGTGAAAAGTGCTTATATCCATTAATATGATGACTGCATGACTCTGCATCAAGAGTCCATGTTTTGAACACAAGCAGTAAAACGTAAAACTGCTCTTGTTCTTCGTCTGATTCCCCAGTAGTTGAGCTGCCGGACAGACTTGAACCACCGTCGCCCCGAAAAAAAGAGATGCATTTGGAATCGTACGGTCATGATAAAGGTCAATCCCTGATTTGAACGGATGCTGGTTTCCGAATCATCAACCGCCTCTGCGGCTCGAATTCAGTGGACAGGCACCGTAGTATGAAGGTACTTGGGTTGTGTCCGCATGGAGGTTTCCCCCCCCTCTCTGATGGGACTTGCTACAGGGCAGTCGGGGCCCGCTGAAGAGTCGTAGATCGACAATACAGCAGGGTGGCTTGGGTGGGATGGGAAAACTTGTTAACCCCCAGAGGGCCCCGACTCTAGCGGACCGGATTATCTTCCCCGCCGCAAGCATCCGACCTGCGCCAAAGCAAAAGCACACACTTGGGTGGAAAAGAATGCGCTAACCAGATCTGGTAGCCCCACCAAAAAGTTTTCGGGCAGAGCTCTCACCACCTCTGCGGCCAATTCGACCCTCGAAAAATAATATCACGACCGAAACGTCTCTTGACCCGCTCAAGTCTTGTCCAATTGTCCCGCCCTTGCCAGTCGCGCCACCCAACGAGAAAACCTTTACACGTACCCGTACCGCCAATACATTACACCACAACAACAAAACACCGCCCAAGATGCATTTGATGTACGTTCTCGGCGCCGATGGCAAGCGCACCTACACCTTGAAGAAGGTCCTCAGCGGCGAGGTCACCAAGTCTGCCCACCCCGCCCGCTTCTCCCCCGACGACAAGTGGTCGCGACAGCGCGTCACTCTCAAGAAGAGATATGGTCTCCTGAACTTGGATGACGGTAAGTCCTTGTTGTGGTTTCTTGCAGACATTGGTTGCAATCAAAGTTCTAACGGGTTTATGTGTGATATCTGTAGGTGCCAGCAAGAAGCCTGCTACTCTGTCGTAAATCTACCACAATAGGACCAAAGGGAGGAATTAAAAACAATGCGTCGGCATCTTCTTGACCGAGGACAAAGAGCATGGGTGGTGGCTGGACAAGGAAAAGAAGGCACGAAATCCTTCTACTTGGACATCGTGTGTAGGGCTTCTCGCAGGTTGTGCATAAACGGATTATTGGCGTTCAGGGAGTCGAAAGTTGGATTTCTTTTCGGTTTTGGCGCTTGGCCCTATGCAGCAAAGCATGATGGCAATGTCTGCAACGAATTGCTTCAAGACAAGAAGACATGGAAAAGAGAAAAGAAAAAAAATTTCAATAATTGGAAGAACAATTGGTTTTCCTTGACACATATACCCAGATAGTGGTTGCTGGATTGGTTGACAAGACATGAAATAAGAAAGCAATTCGCATTCATCATAACCAAGCAACAACTTGGAATTGGTCAAAGTCGTCAAGCCCAAAGAAGGTCCATCGCAATTGTGATTTTGTTCATTCATTCATTCATTTGTTCATTCTCTAAGAGTGATGCATTGCTGCGCTTGACCTGTCTAGTTTCTCTTCCTCGAATTGACATTTCGACCAGCTCCCACACGTACCTTGCCGGTACCACTCTGTCTGTAGCCCGTCAGAATGCCGGGGAGGTAATCCTCATCCATCAGATCCCGCTGGCGGAGCCGCCGCTCGGCATCCGTCTTCTGGATAAACTCCTTCTGGTCCTCGGCCAGGATGAGATCTCGTCCCCAGCCGTTCTTGCCGCCGCCCTGGCCCCGGTACTTTCCGTTGGACGTGCCGTGGACCGGCTTGGGTACGCTGTAGACGGCGCCGCGGTTGTTCCACTGGAAATTCTTCTTCAGGTGCACCTGAAAGTTGCCGTTCTGGTCCGTCGAGCAGCTCACGCGCGTCAGGGTGGGCTGGCCGCACTTGGGGCAGAACTGCTTGCTCATGATGCGCGTGATCTGGAAGCACCCGTGGCAGCGCAGCACCCACTGCTTGACGCGCGTGATGCGTGCCATGCTGGGCGACACCAGGTTCAGGTTGATGCGCAGGAGCACGTTTTGCATGGCGTAATCCGACGTGAGAAGCGCCACCTGCAGAAGCCTCTGGATCGGCTGCTCGGGCGCCGCCTGCTGGTCCTTTTGCTTATGCTTCTTCAGGTTGGACGGTGTGATCCAGCCATCCTCATCGTCGTCATCTTCTTGGGCTTGGGCGGGGTCTTGTTCCTCTGTTGGGGCCTCCTGTTCTGGTATGATTTCCTTCTCGGGCTCGAGGGTCAAGGTGTCGAGTTGGTGTGTAATGGCCTCTTGTGATATTACGGGAGCATCTTCCGATACACTGGTAGACTCTTCTGCCGGTTGTTCTGGCTGCTCTGCGGGGGATGGCCCATCGATGGGAGCATTATCAGGAGCAGTGGTCTCAGCACTCGTGCTATCTTGCTGCTCTGTGCTAGTCGCATCGACCTCGGTGATTGTTGCTTCCTTGTCGCCCTCGTTTGCAGCCTCCTCCGTGTTGCTGACCCCCTTCTCTGCCGCCTCGGCCTCGTCCTTGGCGATTTGAGCGGGCGACTTGCCATTTACTCTCTTTTGCGAGGGCTCTTTCCGCAGTCTCCAGTCTCCTCCATTGCGCTCGCATTCCAACTCGTAAGCCAGTGCGATCAGGTGCAAATCGGGCTTGCTGAGGACTTCGAGGTCACCAGTGCGGCGGGCAAAGTTGGTGACAAATGTGATGCTCTCAGGCTTTGGGCTGCGGAGGGTCAAGAAGGGCATCAGCTGCGTCTGTACTCGTATCCGCGTTGCCTCGTCCTTGATCTCGGGTATGACCGAGGGCAGTGTGTACAATTCTTCGGCCTGCGCAAGGAGCGTGCTGATGGGCGGGTCATTCTTGATGAGCGGTCCGGTGTCGATGACGAGACTGTGGATCGGTTTTGAGGGCACAGACGGCGTCTCTTGTGGTGTATCGACGGGCTGCGATTGTGACAGCGGCGGCAGCGTCTCCGCCGGTTGCTGGGCTTCTGAGGGCTGCTCCATCCTGGAAACGTTTGATGCTGTTTATGGGAGATCTGGTGGTGGGGTTGAATATCCGCCCAAAATTCGATTATGGCGGGGTTGGACTGCGGAAAATTTGAGCGGTGGCCATCGGCAGAACTGATAAGCATAGTACCAACATGGGTAGGATTCATGTCTATACCCACTCATCATGTCGTCTTGTAGCGACCATATTCAATTGACTTGTGATATGAAATATTGTTAAAGGTTCTCTATCAGTATAATTTATATTGAAGCGTTCAAGATGGTGTCAGAGAATAAAACATACAAATGCAGAGAAGTTGGAGTAAACTACTACGAAGCGCAGCCGAACCAAGTAAAGCTAAGAAGGATTCCCTCCATGTATGTATAATGATATCCCTAGCATTATTCACCCGAGAAGAACTCACGTACAAAGGCAAACACACAGATAGGCATCAATATTAATCCAGGTAACTGAGGCTTCGTTTGACTGACTGACTCGACTGATAATGTTCAATGTTTAATATCGAATCTTTTTCATTACGGCTCGTCGTTTCTGCAATGTTCGCTTCAGAGCATCGCCGCTTCACTTGTCACGCTTGGAGTAAATATCGTGTCATGATGGTTTCCATCACATATTTTTAGATTGACTAATGATTAAAAATTATTTATAGGTGCGCATACTTCAGTGCAGATGCACTTCCACTTATATGGCATCGGTATCATATAGCTGATTTTGGATCACTGGGTTTTCCAAGCATGGCTTTCTCAAATCTGGAAATACCAATATTAGCATTCGTCATATTCGGTAGAAATTTTTCATTTTCATCTACATACCTCAATAAGAGCTGGGCCAGCGACGACAGTCTCGTCGGTGACGCTCTCGTTGCATCCGGTAAGGACGGCATAGGTCTGACCGGCGAAGCCCTCGGGGATCACGACGGAGAAACCACCGTCGACAGGCGTGGCCTCGACAAAGGTAGGGCCAGTCACGGCGATAAAGGCAGCGTAGACCGGTGCACCCTGAACGGTGTAACCCTGATATCACATACTTGTTAGCGAGAATGGCATTACTCAAATAGCGGTTGCTTGTATATTCAACGTACGGGTGTCAACAGGGTCACTGCATCTCCAGCCTTGATGGGCTGAGCCGTGGAGGGGTCCAGAGACAAAGCTGGGAAGGCCTTGACGGGCAGGGCGGGGTTGCTCGCCGGGCAAGATGTGATGAAGGGCGATGCGAGGGAGTAGACCTCGTCCAGGGTCAGGGGAGCGTCGAAAGCCTGAGGGAAGGGAGACTTGTCGAGCTTGGAGCGGAGGTAGGCCGAGTGTCGGGCCTCGACGGTCAAGATTGAGCCGGCGGCCGTGAGGTATGTCTTGGACATGATGTCGGCGGCTGCGCCCAGGTAGGCCGAGACGCCGACGCCCTCGAGGATCGAGGCCGTGGCCAGGAAACTCTTGACGTCCGTGTAGCCAAAGTCGTAGGTACACTCGGCAACGGGTGTGGCACCGGCAGCTATGTAGTGAGATGATGTCAGTCCGTGTCTTCTTTGACTGATGTTATGGGTAGGCATTTTCTGAGAAAGCTTGACGAACCTGTCAGACCGGCTGTCAAGAACTTGACGTGGCTGGCTTCATCGCTGGAAACCTCCTTCAGGTTTGCGTAGAAAGTGGCATCGAATCCAGCATCTACAAAGTCCTGTTCGGAATACTTGGCAAGACCTTCACGGTAGAAGGTGTCTTCGAGGTGCTCCAGTGTCAAGGCATAGTTGAGGATGTCGGCTGTGTAAGTAACATTAGTCGCCAGGTTTTCCAATGTAGCAAAAGGGGGGTTAGCTCTTACCATCTGTGATTTCTGCACGTTTTTCAATGACAGGAGCAGCAGTGACAAGACTGACACCGGTCACCGCGAGAGCAACTTTTGAGACGTACATGTTGACAGGAAGTCTGAGAGATGAATTGATAGATGATGGCTCAGTGAAGATAGGGATACAGAATCTTTGTTTTACATTGAAGCATCAACGCTGCAACTTATATAAAAACAAATTACAAGAGTCTTACCCGTTTGCATTCTCCTATGATCATTGACCTGGTACTTTGTTAGGCTGATTTGGTTTTCTCATCTGCCGACTTGCTGCCATCTGCGCCATCGCCAATCTCACCCAACTCCAAGCCATACGCACATTCCATGGCATCAATTCTGTGCAGAATGCAGAAGCGGAGAACTCATGACCAACGAAAAAAAGGTCTCGCTGTAATCTCCCCATCTACGATCAGCACCCGCAACTACTCCTAGCGCTTCCCTTTCCGTGTGCCGGGGCGCTAGCGAAGTCCGGATAGTAAACCATCCGAAGTGTCCTTCGTCCCTTTTTAGTCAGGGCGACAGACGCCGGATGTGCTGTCAGCCGTGAAGAATATGGGGTAACTTGCAGCCAGCCTCAATTGCCTAATCCAGAAGTATAGCGTGTACATCACTGGCTGGCCACTGTCCGGAGGACTGGAATGCCGACTGTGTCTTTGACATTACCCCACAAAACGTCATGGGGAACTCTATTGTCTATAAGCTTAACCTAATGAGATTTGCGCCGTCTTCTGTGACTATACTAGCTCAGTAATCCGTTGGGGGGCGCCCTTTTTACCGTCAGCTCGCCAGCTCGCCAGCTGGAAATGAGGACGGCGAGCACAGGAGAATCTGACAAACCATGAGCTCGTTGAGTCTTTGATGGAGAGCATACCAAGAGGGGAGCCCGCAGCTCATCCATGACCTGTGCCACGGAGACTATTGTATCCGGCCGATCTACAAGAGGACAGGACGAGTACTGTTGGTGGAAATTGGCAGGCATGCCTGAGCGCAGCCGAGAATCGCAGATTTTGTCGTTGAAGCGACAGCGTTAGGAAGGATGCGCAAATTAATTTCGTTCGGAGTCAGGCTGGGCCGGGCAGCGGACGTCTTTGTAGGTCAGAATTGCCATCTTAGCGTCAAGGACTCTCAGTTGACCTTGTCTTGGACCTTGTTGATATGCAAAGTAAAATGAGAAACAAAATCATTTATCTCTAGAAGCGCATGATGCCCTCGTTCTCCTGAATCTCTGCATTTATTCGTTGAAACGGACGTTCATTTTCTGCAACCAAGACACCGTCATTCTCTTGACAATCTGGATCACATCATTCAAAGTATTGTTTTGTACCATATATAATATTCCTAATCATAATCATAATCGACAATTACACCACCAGAACCATGAAGGCCGTTCAATTTCTCGCTGTTCTCGGCGGTAAGCATTCTATTTTCTCCATACAAGCAGTGCGCGTCATGTTCTGACATTTCATCTCAACAGCTTCGCTCGCCGCTGCCACTACGGACATGAGTGTCAGCACTACAGTCGTCTGCCACTCATGCCCAAACGTGACTTCTACCGCGGCCGACATCGTCACCCGATCCCCCATACCCACCACACCCTGCAGTGCTCCGGCCTTGACCGTCATCAGTTCCGCCACCGGCTCTGGCAATGCGACGGCAACCGGTACCGGGTCTTCCAGCACAATGGTTCCGGTAACAGTCTCTGGTGGTGGAAAGCTCGTTGAAAGCTTTAGTGGTGCATTGGCTTTGGCCGCAGCTGTTGCGTACCTGGTTTAATGTTGTGGGGAATGAGGATGTTGTCATGTCATGGACCAGTCCTTCAGGTATCTTTTCAGTACCCTAAATGCCGATGGAAGCGAGTTGTTACGAGAAGCAATCTTGATCAGTATAAATTTCTTTGCCGGGCATCTCATGTTTGCATCAATGGTATCGCTCCTCACATTGGGCGAATTGTACATTACGATATCTGAATATTATGCATTTCGTAAACAGAACACGCATTCATGACTTCCTTGGAAGCGACACGGTCGTTACCGAGACCTCGAGACACTAATACTGCTATGAATTAACAAGATCGATTCAACAATCCGTAAACCAAATATGTATCACGTAGACTACACTCGTGCCCCATGCCACCATCGGGATGGATTGCAGGTGATGGGAAGGAATTAGCCTTCCCGGCTTTTCAGACCTTCTGGTCCAGCTGACAAGATGCCTGGTAGTTGAGAGTCCATACTGACTGACAGGCATTAATTGATATAGCCCTTGCATGTTGTCAGGGCCTAAACAGTGAGCATGCTATGCAATTGCGGCCACTGGCGAATTGTATCATCAAAATTCAATCTTAGATTGTGGAGCAGTGCTGGCAACACTTAGATCAAGGAAATTCAATTTTGGATTCGAATTAATAGAACTCTGTTGGCTCGCCAGACTTCTTCTTTGACACATTGCTACCTCATCCCTTTAAGTTGTCCAGCCCCATGTTAACAAGTTTTGTTTGATCTGGCGGAAGGGCTCATCTCCCATGTGATAAAGGCCACCAAAATCAGCTGGATTCTCATACACCTCGAGATTTATTGACTTGAGATGCGAACAACCGCGATTCGTTGGCCCTTTGAAAGCTTGAGGACATTGTACAGTGTATAGTCTTCTAGCATATGTCGACTATGTTTCACAAACGATATAGGGGCGAGTCTCTTGTCTCTTTTAGCACGGAGTCAAGCTTGGGCAAGCTGTTCAATGAAACATGCCAGCGGGCATAGAAACGGAGAGCAATTAAGGTTGCTGAAAGCAGAATAAGCACCACGAAAACAACGACAAGTGGCATCGTGGTTGCCGAAGGCGTCCGCACGACGTCCTACCTAAGCTGGAGATCACACATGGTCCGAAGAAGGCTTACGGGTAGCAATCGAAAAGCGGGAAGCGAAGGGGGGAGAGAGAGAGAGAAATCAGACTGACTTCTGGTCAGGTGTAAGCCAGCCTTTTTCTTCTTCTTTTTTTTATTATTGATTCTCCCTACTATATGTGCCGCAACCAAGAATGACTACTGCCTTGTTTTCCTGTCTTATACATTCGATTTCGGGAAGAGTATTACCAAGGGGGCGACATTTTGCGTAGAATGGATAGCATAACGCAGCCCATCAGGTTACTGCAGACCGATATGTGCAGTGTTAGTTGCAAGTTGAGGGACTTGAATGGCTCGGTATACTTGCAATGCTCATGCATTCAATCATATTTCCTACGGGCACAAGGGACACGCCATTCGTTATCCCCGGTGTGTGGCCGCGGGTGAGTAAAGAAGAGCAGTCCTGACGGGCTTACGCCATGCAAACAAAGCTGCTTGCATTGGGGTCCTTTAAGCCTACATACCTGCCCTCCCCAGAGGCGGCGGAGCGGGGAATACTACTATGCAAGGCCAATCGCAGCAGCGCACCCGTGCCAACACGTCTCGTGCATATGTATATACAATATTATTTGAGTTGATTCCTCTGCTCACCTCCTGCTTCTGCTCTTTATTCCATCAGTAGAAGCGACAACATCATACCGATTCCAGAGTACCATTTAGCCATGGCAGCAAACGATAACTATGTCTTTACGCGAGACCTCTTGGACAATACTCGGTTGGTATTTTCCATATTTCTGAATGTTTTTTTTTCTTTTTTTTGGGGCATTCGTGATCAAGGTATCTATCTATGCTGACCGTCGAGGGATTCCCATATCATAGCCTCAATTTGATGCACACTTATTGGGTCAAGGATTTTGGCTATCTCATCCACCCAAGGATTCCGACCGACGGGGCCAATCTCAGAGTGGCAGATACGGTTCTGGTACAGGGTATGTCGACTCTGAGGGTTAAAACTATTATCAGCATTCAATTAATGTGCCGCATGAATGAAAAGTGTATGGTTGGTCGATGCATATGACCAACTCCCAAAATCAGCATAGTTTGTCGGCCTCGACATCTCATTCGAAGCCGCACCACCACCCGAGGCTTTGCCTTCGAGTATCAGATTCCAAAAATGGGATATCCATGATCCGGTCCCTGAAGAATTTATCGGGGCATTTGACTTGATCAACATTCGCTTCATGATATTCGTCGTCTACAAGGACGAGGTTTCATCTGTAGTAGACAAGCTGATCAAGATGCTGAGTGAGTAGCAATACCTTTATTCTATATCGTGTTGCACGTACTAATCGCTTGGAATACACCTAATAGAACCTGGCGGCTACTTGCAATGGGTTGAACCCGACAACCAGACCGTGCGCGGAGAATTGACAAGGCCTGAAAACAGCAAAACGAGCATTGAGCAGCTCATGAGCCTGCTAAGGTCCCAAGACCCGAGATTGAATCCGACGTGGGTGCCAGACCTGCCCAAGATCTTTTCCCATTGCGGTCTCCAGGATGTCGACGCCGACGTGCACGTTACTCCGCCACACTGGGCGTACTTGAGTAAGTAGACAAAATCTGTGGCATCCTTAACTTTTTCATGTTTTTCTCCAAGAGTCTATGTACAAGATTTCCCGGTCCCGTAATTCTGTCTCGGGAAATACCTGCCGGCCTGGTAACGGCAGCTCGAGCACTTGGTGGGAATTTCTATATAAACGTGAAAGAATTGAGAAGCTAACACATTCCGACTCACTAGTGCACGAGTGCGGCCTCATCATGCACGAACTCATTGCGCGAAAGACCCGAAATGAGCAAATGGCAGCAGAGTTGAAGCGCCTGGTACCTTTGGCCGTGGAAGAGACCAAGAAGGGAGCCTATCTGGCCACCACAAAGTATGCCATTACGGGAAGAAAGCCTTGAAATCACATTGGAATTAGACCAAGCATGACTAGCTGGTAGAAGAAAAATACAGGCTGAAAGGAAGTCAGAAGTAGATTAATTGTGCCGATAGCTCAGAGGGCTGGTTGTGGCCAACAATGTGTTGTACTGGCAATTGCCCTGCCACATGCATCACACAGCTGCTCATGACAAGAGTAAAGAACAAGTATAGTGGTTGTCACGGTAGAAGAGACGCAATGGCAAGTTATCTGCGTCTTGGAAATACCAACTATTCTGGGCTTCTAGTCAGACTAGGTACCGGGATGATTCCAATTTTCAACAACCAATATCCTTCTTCATAAGGTCTAATCTTTGTTCTTGGTCCTGATTGAGCTTGTTGAAGCTAATACTCGACCTCTTGACATGACGTCAAAGACCTTCGCGTCGAGCTTGAACCCGATCCGCTTCTTCCACACGGCTAGACTTCCGCAAATAATTTTCAAGCCATACAAAGGTCATCATTAGAGTGTTCTCCCTTGTTTCTAGAAATGTCATTGATGAGTATGTCTGACCATGTGTTGCACTTGCTGGAGGTGTATCCAGAAAGTCAACCAATTCGTACGAGACTTGGATTGCCGAATCATAGTCTTTCATGGCTGCGTAGAGGCCTATCACGTTGATACAAGCGTAGCAATACTGATGCGGGCTGACGCGGGCCTCTTCAGAATCACGAGCTTCCAAGGCCAATGTTAGCCCCTCGTCGAAACGATTATGCAGTCGGAGTAGACAAGCGAGCTCTATCTTGAGTTGCATGGTCGAGATGCCACAGTCCTTGGCTGTCTGTATTATATGATCGAGTCGCAGTCTAGCCTCCTCATAGCCAATCATACCTGCGCTACTCATCAGGCTGATAGTCAAGCCCCGGCCTTGCATCAGTTCTGTAAGAGCCTCCGGAGACCTCCACAAGGAGGGCTCCAGCACTTCGCAATAGCAGGCGAGCAAAGGCTCGATATGGCTTGCGAACTCGATATTGTCCATTCGAGACAAGGCATCCGTCATCGTACACAAGGGATGGTCCGCGCCAAGGAACGCCTGGCAGAGCCCCGCGAAATGCCGGAGGAGCATTCGTGAGAGGTTATGCCCCGATTTGTCATAGTAAATGCAGCGCATTACTTGGTGGCATAAGAAGATAAAGGTGAAGGAGTTTTGCGACTTGACGATTGTGCCTGTTTTTTCAAAGCACTTTTGCAAGATGCGGAATGCCGACCTGAACTTTCGTTCTTCGAGAAGCTTGAACGCCGGGTTGAAGTCACTATACCAGGCCTCAATGTTTCCAAGCTGCCCGTGAAACAATACAATGTCTTCTGACGGAGATACCGGCGCCGGGTATGTGTCCAAAGGAGCTCTGTTTTGCAGATAAGAACGAGTCGAGAAAAGCAGCTTTTCGAGAACTTTCATTGGTGCGACATTGCCGAGATACCGGGTTCGTCTTGTGGGCCATCCGTGGGGTATTCCGGTCAACGCAGCTGTTTGCTGGCGAAAACATGGGATATTTGCGACTGGATATCTCGTGTCCTGTCGTTTATGCTGTGTTAAACCAGCTGTCATTGCTCGGTTCGCGTGGCAATCGTTGCCCGAGGTGACATGATGATGTTTGCGTCTAGGTCGGGACTCTGGAATCGACAGAATTGATGCTTCCAGGGAGCCGCTACTATGATCAGAAGATCCGCTGGCTATAGACGGTGGTTCGTTCTCCATTATCGAAACCTTGGCCCTCTCGCTTTGAGAAAATTGCATGATGGCCGAGCTCGAATCATGTATTTCTGCCACGCGACTTTGGCTGCTCGCTGTAGCCCCAGGAGGCGGTGTTCTGATGGCTATTCTTGACTGTAAGGCATGGCGTTGGTCTGACTCAACCCCGAGCGTCAATTCTGTATACGTTTCAAGGATGAGGCTCCAATGACTTACGCATCGTGAGCCTGGTCTTCCCCATTGCATGATGCCTACGAATACCCTCTCTGACTCTTTTACGCGCAAGTCGTTTCCCATCAAGATACACATTACTGTCTTTTCCGTCTTGTCTCCTTTGCTCAACGCGATGCGCGATGGCCGCCCAGTCTTTTTGCTCAAGGTTTTTACGAAATTGAAAATGATCACGCAGAACGATTTCATATTGCTTTATCCTGCGCTCCTTTGTCAGTCCACGGTCTCACGAGACGGATAATGACAACACTAACGGAAGCGACGGGAGTCCATGCTCAATCTCCATTCTATCCTTGATGACTTTGAGACTGCAGCCTTCATCAAGATATAGCCGTTTCAGGTCATCGCGATATGCATCCCAGGTTGCGAAATTCCTTGCCTCGAGAGCGCTCCAAACAGCCGGTCTGATGGCGTAGCTTTGCTCCATGATTTACTAGGTGGCAATACACGCGTCATTCCTTTTTTTTCTCTCTTCTTTTGGGCCTCGCGAGCGGCTCGCGGGGAAATCTGGTAGAGATATTCAATGGCAACAGACAAATTCGTGAATCTAGAATCAAGATTTAAGTTTCAGCATGGAGTCACAGAGGTCGTGGAGATAGGGGTTTCATTACATTTGTATGAAACCGCGGACATTTCTTGTTCTAATTTAAGCAGCAAAAAGTCCTGGTCGCCATTATCAGTCAGGTGTATGCAGGAGTGTCGATCAGCTTTGCTTTCATTGGTCATGAACGGGGTGGCCCCCATGTCTGGCGGTAGCCGAACCAATTACCAGGCCTTGTGCATGGCTGTGGCCCGCCCACAAGCAGAGATCGAATCACTGGAGCAATTTCGGTAGTTGCAGGCGGTCTGTCGGATCTTTGGACGGGAGAAAAATCATATATCAGATGAAGCAGGCGCCGCGCCAGTCTTGACCTGATCTCATTTGAAAAGTGTCGCCTCCGACAACAATGACAGAGAATCATATAAGGTTCCTTTGCCTTGCAATGAGCAGGCAATCCGCGTCAAAGCGAAAATGACCTCGTTGGTGTGGGGCCCGTCAGAGCCGCTTGCACCTCTTCCATCGGTGACACTCTGAATTGATCAGCTTGCGTACCCAAAGATCTGGAAATGACATATATGAGAAGCTCGACACTAAAGGCACATTGCATGTGAGGTTCATGTCCTGGATGCTCTGTAGCGTCAGTGTCCATGCGGAAGAAGAGCACTCCGTACGGCTTCATGTTGGCTCGAACATGGTCTTTCCACTACCCATGGCACTTCCCACGACGATGTTGAGTATGCCGGTATACGAGCTTTTGTCTTGAATTGTACGAGAATCCAATGTTGAGTTGTTGTTCTACACAAACATGGGTGGCCAGCTGTACGCCGCACACGATGATTCTTGGTGGACGGAAGGTGGGAATCAGCTCCATTGAAAACTACGCAAGTACCAAGTAACATGTCGAATTGAAGAAAGTGGGTGTGAAGAAGAAGAAGAAGAAGGAGCCACCTCTCACCAACTGCTACGACTCAACTACCCAGGTACCGATAGAGCAGCAGCCTCAGGCTTGAGACCTCAGCACCTCCCAGAAAGAGCAACGGCGGCGCAATCAATGTTGAAGATGGGCTCATTATTGAGGCCAATGATTGTGAGAGTTTGACATTGCAACGCTTTGAATGTCGGCACTTCAAGGCTCTAAATGCTGAGTCAATTGTATTTCAGAACACGAAGGATTGGGGTGGCGACATTGTCTCCATGAAAAAAGGTCAAGATATGCGTGTCGGTGTCTATGGATACGGACTCGTTGGTGTGGGGGCCACTATCCAATAGACTATGTGATCCTACACTCGTATGAGCCGGCGCGATGTTTATTTATGCTTATTTCTTGAGGCAACCCTTTGGTGTGACCTCGAATAGTGATATACGGAAGGTGTTTACCATACGGAATGACCAAGAGCCCCCACCCTCTCGGCGTGGCGCTGGGATCATGTCCAGTGGTGGAGCGACATTGATGCGACACTCCTTGCGCTCCGGGGTTCCCGTGGCGGCCGGGGGACAGAATTTCCCTTTCCGCGCTCACTTTCATCCCGAAGAGGGCTTGTTCACGTTTTCGTTGCCATAAACGACATTCTCCCGTTGATGGACTATTTTTATCCGTTATCTATATATTATACTCCACGGGCCGATAGACCTACGACTACCTTTTTGACCTTCCTGCCTACTTGAGATGATGCAGGCATTGCGAAAGAGCACACCTTTTATTGCAAACGAATAATTCAATATTTGAATCGCCATGAGGTGGAACTGTGTCCAGCGTCGCTATGAATCAAGGAGGTTTTGGGTTCAGTCAATTACTTGGTAAACTCATCCAGCGAACCTTGGAGATAAGCAACCATGTATTATAGTAGGGTAACTATATAGGAACCCAACAAGAGGAATAAAACACAAGCAAGCTTTTCTCATGGTGTCATTGGCAATTTTATTTACTCCACTGGAAAATCGTCTTGTCTGATGATAAGAGGTTGCGACTCTACAGCTATCACGACTCTGTTAAATTATAGGCATGCCTAGCCATATTGCTTGATTGTGACAATCAACACAAGACTTGTCGTGGCAAAAGTGCAGTGCAAATGCGAGGACTTGAATCTTGGCGACACAAGCCCATTGATGGAATCAAAAACGCACCGTTCCTGCGACTCGGCAGCTTCCGGCAACCGAGGAATTGCTCAGATCTTTGCGCCGATTACTTGGCTTGCATCTTGGGAATCATGTATGCGTCGCATGATTTTCCAGTTCCTGGGGCCATCTGCCGCGTGGCTTCATAGCCGAACAAAAAAACGGAGATTGAAATATGCTTGCTTATACCCATGTGCGGCGCAGGGCGATGAGCAAGGCCGCTTTCTTATCTGATTGCGGCATCAAAGGCCGGTGGCTCACCACCGCCAATGTCAACCAGCCAGTCCTGTAAGGGCAGTTGACTATAGGACGAGACCCACTGCCAATTCCCGCCAAGCGGAACAATCCTTGACGGGCATCTCTATCCGTGCGATTCAGAATAAAGATGAAAAGATATTTGTTGGCACAAGGCATAGGGACGGACAGGCGAACAAACAATTTGTGATTGCTATTATTACCTTCAAGTCCATATGACTAGGCCTTGTTCTAGACCAAGGTGCGCATGTGGGAGCGGATTGAGCATCTGTCAATGTTGTCTTTATAAAAGTACCTATCGATTCTCTTATTATTTTCTTCTATTGTTCTAAATTACTTTCCATTAATCTTGACCTTTGCGATATTGCTGCCAGTCTCTCGTTCATCACCATGCGGCAATCGATTGCTCTCGCGGCGGCATATGTCGCAAGTGGTGCTCTGGGTGCACGCGTCTTTATTAATGAGCCCGACACGGGTCTTCTCGACAAGATTGGCGCCGACTTTCCTACCGGACAGTTGCCCAACTTGACTGACATGGTTGGGCTCCCCGACTTTGAGTGGGCGGCGAGGAACTATCTGCCCATTGTCAATTACACCTACTACCGAAACGGCGCTGCCGGCGAGTGGTCGTACCGGAATAATCTCGAGGCATACAACCGGTATCGATTCAAGCCAAGAATGATGGTGGATATCACTGGCATCAAGAGCACGTTTCAGTAAGAACGAGACACGTTGGACCAAGTCATGCCATCATGAGTCCTGACATGAGATAGGACCACTATCCTGGGCTACAATTTCTCAGCTCCCTTTTACATCTGCCCATGCGCCAAAGGCGAGTATGGAAACCCAAATGCCGAGCTCGGCTTGGTCAAGGGCGCGGGAACTGGTGAGATTCTGTACATTGTAAGTCCGCTCCTACGTCAACCCATGTTCTACCGTCGCCGCCATACTGACACACAAATGACAGCCATCTCGCTACTCTAGCATGACCATGGAGGAGATTGCAGCCGAGGCCGCACCAGGCCAGACCCTTTTTGCTCAGCTCAAGCTCAGCAACGACGATGACAAGAACCAGAAGCTTTTCGACCGTGCCGAGGCTGCAGGATACAAGGCCATTGTATGGACCATTGACGCACCCGGTGGATCGAGTCGCCAGCGTGCTCAGCGCTTTGACGTTGGCGCCGAGTAAGTCCTCTTATTTCTATTGGAGGGTGCTTGATAACCACTCCCCTTTCATGAATGGAGACCAGCTTTGAAGACTAATTGAAAAACACCTGACAGCGAGGACTTTGTCCGACAGACCTGGGACGACCTCGACAAGTACCGCAACATGACGTCGCTGCCGATTGGCATCAAGGGCATCCTGACGGCGGCCGACGCGCGCATCGCCGTCGAGCGCGGCGTGCCCCTGATTGTGCTGTCCAACCACGGCGGGCGCAACCTCGACGGCTCCCCCTCGCCGCTCGAGGTGGCCCTGGAGATTTACCAGACGGACCCGACCCTCTTTGACCAGGCCGAGTTCCTCGCCGACGGCGGCGTGCGCTACGGCACCGACGCGCTCAAGCTCCTCTCCCTCGGCGTCAAGGCCGTGGGCATCGGGCGGCCGTTTATGTACTCGAATGTCTATGGACAGCCCGGCGTCGAAAAGGTCATCAACATTATGAAGACCGAGATGGCCGGCGATGGAGCCAATATTGGTCTTGACAGCCTCAAGTCCATTACTCCAGACTATGTCAACTGGAATCCAAACTATTGGTATTCTTAGATAAGTGTATATTTGTTGTTTTGTCCTTTTTTGGGTAGCGACTCCATAGAAGAATCACATGTATTGTAACCTTATTGTGAGGTTTCAGGTGTTCGGACTTGATCGTGCAATCAACAATAAGTTGGATATGCCGCATTGAGTGTCAATCGTAACAAATGTACCATTCGGAGCCGAAATAAAGAATAGAACTGCAAAACATCAGCCACCAGAAGGAATCAATGATGGACAGTATAATACGGCCCCGCAATCCTTCGAGCCAGTGATTGACCTTGAAAATTGCCCACTTTGGGGGCTTGCTCCAGTGGCTCCTGCATGCCATGTGCCTTGGAGCAGATCACTGGCAATGCGCCTAAACAAATGGGCCTTTACCCGCGAATCCATGCCGCCTAGCGGCCGCGCACCAGTGATTCTTATATTATCTCCAAATCTCGGTCCCGAGGAGCATTGCGCTGTCAGTAAAAGCTAAACTTTATGCTTGATATCACGAAATATCTGCAAGGGCATTGGAGAGGGGCTGGAGTGGGCTTTGCATTCTTCCAGCAAGGTAGTCCCTTTATTTTTTGTCGGTGCAAGTCGCACGAATCCACTCACTGATACGGTCCACACACCATGTTCGTCCACTTCATCTGCCTATCAGGTAGTACGTATTCGGGTCATCAGTTCTTGTTCTGTGCCAACTCGCTGGGTGTAGAATGTCGATACGCACAAGGACCTCGGAGCCTTGTTCACCTTGCGGGAAAAAAAAAAAGAAATAAAACCCCAATACCCAAGTTCAAATTATCTTTAGCAATCCTCTACAGGGAAATAATCCGGGCCCATACCCACTATTTCCGTTTCAAACAGCCCGTGTTGTCAGGATGAGGATCACCATATCTGATCCACTGGATTTGTACTTCAGGGTGTTGAAATCAAACAAACGGTTTGCACCTTGATTCCGATCTCATTCCTGTTATGTATTGCTTGTTTTCTGATCGAGTCAATTCTAAATGTAACATGTAATATTGGGTATTCCATCGCATTTATATGTGTTTGCTTGAGTATATACAGGGAAGTGCGGTCATGGTAGTACATGAACCCCCTATAGCGGTATCTTTATTTCAAGTATGCTCCAGAAAGCCTTGATCCGGGACCAGGTTGCAAGCCTCATCTCCGACGTGGTGCCCTGTTTTCTGGTTGAAGTGCTGATGATATCTATTGCTGACCGCAATATCATCCATCTGAAATCACCGATCCATACCGCTAATCGTCTTCATCTTTGTCGTCTTTCTCGGCCATGCGCCGTTGACAATAACGAATCCGTAAAATGCTATTGGACTGTCTCCTGGGGTTGTATACTCATTCCAGTCTTCCCGACATACAGTTGATATCTTGTCGCGCTGCGCAACTCCGAGTCGATAAAACTGCTCATGAAGCAAATAGTATATGGTCGCTCCGGTTCCAAAATAAAGGTGGGTATAGTAACATTATCGTAAAAAGTCGTGAGGTTGCCGTCATTTCTATAGAGCGAAAACGCAGGTAGGCATTTTTGGGTGAGCGAAAGCAGGGGATGGAGGGCTGCTCTACGTCAGCCAAGCCGCTGCTGACATGACAGCAATAGTGGTTGTTGCAAGAATGGAATCATTGTCTCCCCCCCGATTTTTCAACAAGTGCAAAGAGCTCCAACACCCTCGCAACAGGAACCGCAATCGCAGGCGGAGCAATCGCATCCCGAACAGTCGCAGCAGTCGCAGGTGCAGAGATCCCCGCAGGCAGAGCAGAATTGGTTCCAGTCGGTGAAGATGAAGCACCAAGTGCAGGCCTCGGACCAGGCAGCTTGGCGGTACGGGCTGTCGTCGTTTTTGGCGCCGCCACCGATTGGGTTGTTGCCCAGATCACTCATGGGATCTGGCGATGAGTATTGTTCCTGCGAGCTCGTGTTAGGCCAAGACCAAGTAAGAACTTTGTCACTTTGGAATGCTTACCGTCATGATGATGATGATGGCTTCGACTGATATATTTGGTGCCGCGGGATATGATAGAGGGCGTTTGTCCCTAAACTGCACGTGGGGTAAGAGGTTGGTGGTTGGTGCCTAATGCAGTTCCCGAGATGCAGAAAAGTGCGTGAAATAAGAATAATGATAATAGTGTAGGCAAAGGCCAAATCAGCGGCCGACAAAGGACTAGAGAATCACAGTGTCTTTTTTATTTCAGTGGACAGGAATGAGAGAGCGAACGTGAAACAAATGATTGCCAACCGGAGATGCGAGTGGAAATCAGTAAGGTTAAGCTTAAATCGCCCATATTTCAAGTTGCCCTATCAGAAAGAACCAAGTCAAAGCTTGGTGCCGTCGTTTTATGAGATCAACACGGGGCCTGAATTCCTATGATTTCTCAGAGATCTTCCAATGGGTTACAGGGGCTTGGCTCGGGGTTTTTGGTTGGGTTTCGTGGTGGAGACGCCTAAGCGTGGGATTTTTTGGCACTGCCCTTTCTGCTCAGCCACCCATAGTGGACTAGGGGACCTTCTGTAGCTACATATGATATGCGAGAGCTGCAGCCCCAGGGCGACACCCCTCAACCCTTTGGGAAATGATCAAGTGTTTTTTACGACGAGCCTTGAAAGGAAGCTTGGCACAAAGCAATATTGGCACATCTGATGTATATGGCTTGAGGATCTTGGATAGGATACATCCGACCAGCTGCATCTCAATGTCATATCACTCACTCATGTATCAAAGATTCGCGACAGATTGAATGTCTTGTTGCTGCAATTGGAATTACCACTTTCGTATCATACAAGCATTCAATCGCGACCAAGCTTTGACTAACCCGGTGCCCTAGGTGTAATGTAGTCTAGCGCTTCTAGTGTTAGCCTGTAGAACAAGAGCGCTTATACGAGCATCCAAATATTTTGCAAACACCCTCGATTTTGGACCCTTGATACCAGGACGCTGTAAGAATTTTCCTTCTTCACGTCTTTGAAGACATGATATTTCAACCTACAGTCCAAGTAAATGTTGTTTAAAGAAAAAAAAACTCTGCTTAAACTTAATGCCGCAGCAGTAGACTGGAGGCAAGTCCGCAATAGCCTGCGACTAAAAGCCCTAGTCTGGACTCTCGCCGAGTATTCGGGGCTATTACTGCCCATTGCGCGCGTACGAGCGTGTTTTGGATATCTCGTATCGTGCAAATTTGAACGTCAACATCCCAACCTGCAGCAAAACTCTTGAACAGCCACACATGGGAGCCTCGGTTACCGTTTCTTGTGGATCAGAAATTGGAATTATTCATATTTCGCTTCCAAAGAAGCTCATGATAAGATTTGATGGATATCGACCCGAGGTATTCGAGAACCAAAGAGGGCAAAGCAAATGGGAAAAGCCCTAATAATTCCTTGCGCTCGAAAAAGTTAAGAGAAAAACAGAAAAAGGAAAACATGTTGCTCGTTTGGTAGAAAGTAAAATGATTCGCTGCGTTGGGGAAAAGATCACCACTTGCCCTCACCATCGTGCGCCTCGATATTACTGCCGTCGTCCCTGACCTGGTATGTCGTCGTGACCACGATACCGCCGTCATTAATCTGCTGCGTATTTCGGTCATTATTGTCCCGGTCGACGCTGTCGAGCGCTGTCGATGTCTGGCTGATTTGCGACTTGGTGGTACTGCTGCCGCCGCCAGCTGCTGCTCTCATAATGTTTTCCTCGCTCGAACTTAAAACTTGGGTGCCGGCCGGGTTGTTGTGAAATGGCAGGACGTTGCGGAGCTGCGAGCCTTTGCTCTTGCCCGAGAGGGCGTATACGTTGCTGCGCTTGTTATACGGAGTGTGGCTGTCGGTTCCACCTTTCGAGGTCGACTTGAGCCACTTGGCGCTCGAGAAGAGCGGCTTGATGGGCGCGGCATTGACGGCAATGATTGCGACAAACTGCGAGACCAAGCCATGTGAGTACGGGATATATGAGTGATGTAGATTCAAGATATCTCAGATGATAATTCCAGGTAGTAAGATGTAAATCACGTACAGTTTCTCGAATGGCCCAAATTGTGCACAGGTTGATGAGCTCGACGTTTTGGAGCGATAGTACGCATCTCAGCAGTGTCGCAATCATGACAAACACTCCTGAACAGAGCAAAGCTCCAATAGCGAGTTTTCGTGCCACAGTGAGCTTGACCGCAAAGAGAAGAGGAATGGGTATGCCAACGATCACAATGTCCGTGCTGTGTGTACATTCACCCCGTCAGCGCTCTCGTTGGTGTATAATAGGTAGTAGGGTCGGTTAGCTCGAATAGACTTACGCCACGTTGAGAACGGCTACAGAAATATAGTTTGCTGGCTTGGCAGAACAGTTATCTATAGTGCCTTGGTCAGCTGGTTCTTCCTCTAGGATAGTCCCTAGGTCACAACTCACAACCAGGGATGGGAGCGACCCTCCAATTGTCTGATACAGGTGTGCATTGTGTAAAGATTATCACAAACATGATGAGATATGTCACCACGCAAGCTACACTCGTCCACTTGACGAATTTCTGCTGACTCAGGCCAAGACTATCCCACTGTCAGCACATGTCTCTCTCTAATTGAGTTGGCCTGTTGGAGCAAAATGTTGCATACGTGATTCGGTTGAAGAAGAACAACATGCAGCCCTTGAGAGTCCAAATCAGAGCTACATAGGTATTCCAGCCAGTGAATAGCCATTTCGAACCTAGCTCTCGGTCATGTATCTCTTCGGGGCTCATTTGCTCGACCATTTCTGTCGTGACTCCAATGTTCGTCTCGTATTTTCCTAGATGTCCCATGTCAGTCTTGTCTTGGTCAGGGCCAATATTTTGGCGAGGAAACATTGGATTTGACCGGAGGATTGCTTACCGACCAACGTTACAACTGTGATATCCATCTATAGGCCAAGTGTTATTATTCAACAATTTCTATCATTTGGCAGTCTTGAGGCGCAAGAAAAAAGAAATCTCGAGACAACCTAGCAGCTGCCGTTGCAGAGGATCATGACTTACAGTCCAAAGTATCAGGGCTAGTACAGAGAAATAGTCATCTCCCTTCCAGCCTTTGAAACCAACTGCCTTCCATCGAGCATAGAGTCGAAGCAGTATTATGGCGACACCCAGGCTCCACTCTACCCAGCCCTCGACCTGAAAAGGCGTTTGGGCTTCAGACATGATCGACAAGGCGGGTAGATGGGCAAGTAGGTAGTAGTTGGTAGTAGTTTTCCCTTTCCCTCCACGTGGCTGGCAAACAATAAACCACAGCTGCCGAGAAGTAATAATGATAGGCTTGTTGATGGTTAAAACTCAAAATACCAATAACGAATCTAGGTCGCCGGCGAGAAGAAAAAGAGGGCATCAGTCCGTTTTCCCGTCGAAACTCTATCGGCGGGCTTCGTTCCAGATACTAATACCCTTTTTCTCTCCCCAGAACTAATTCTCAAAGAAGACCAAGACGGGCCTCTTCCCCTTGACGAGCTAAACCCCCCATGTTCAAACTAGATCCCCACCGTGTTGCCTTTGAGGGCTGCTCCTAGCAAGTTCCATTTTACTTCTGAAATGGCGCTTATGTCACATATAGGGCAGACGACCCAGGACCAGCAGATCCATCTTGGCTGACTGGTTCAGCTTCTCAGTGGGATCCGCAATATTCAGACTCGCCAGATTCTACTAGGAGGGCTTAGTGGTATTATTAGTGCACAGGGGAAGACTCCAGCCCTGGGCAATCTGGGCTGAAGACGCCAAGGCAAAATTCCCCCGATATTCTGTGCGTTCCGGAGGAGGGGAGCAGTTTCCGGCGACGCCACCCATCTTGGATTGTATGTATTAGCTAATGGTAGGGGACACCACACTGTTGGTCGATTGCCAAAAACAGATTGAATTAAACTTGCTAGTAGTCTCTTGTACCAGGGCAGATTTTGTGGTAAGCAACCCCTTGTGCATTCGGCAGGCAAAAGTACGGCGCTGATTATCATTGCAGATCTCCCTTTTTGGTATAATACATATATATACAAAAGCAGAATACGCTCGGACTTTGCTGCTGTGCTAGCAAACTTATAGACAGTCAGTCACATCAGGCACTACAATTCTTTGGAAATTTCATATTCATCGGACTACAGTAGTACAGGCAAGCTATGAAAAAGCTGAACAAAATATGAGAAATAGAAATGCCTCCTGAGCAATTTGTTGCCCTTGGATTACCAGGGGTCGAGATGTTCGAGTGCGCTGACTCGCGCGGCAAGCGATCGCTGAGTCCTGTCGGGCTTAGTGTCCAGCACCGTCATCTAGACCGGCATAGATGAACGGGTTGATCTTCTTACCTCAAACAAGCTTTTTTCTTTTTTTCCTTTTTCTCATTGGGCCAATGACCGCGTTACGGGTCCTTGCTACATCGAAGAATTGGCACCGAAATTAAATCGGCCGCCCGTTCCTGAACCTACCGGAAGCATGTTGCAATGCCCTATGGGGATCCGGCTTGCAAACGGGCATCGTTTTCTCAACGGAGTGGCTTACCGGACCAATGACCCGGGGCTCTTGGCAAGCTTGATAATACAAGTAGTAGCTTGGCCCTTGGGTATTTCCTGAATAATCCCAACTAATCCACTCACTACCCCATTATCATCAGCTCCAAGTATTGATCCGTGAACCGAGTCAGAAAATGATGGGAGGACATGTCGACAGACTAGCCAGGCACGCTAGATGTCGCTTTTCGTCTGTCGGGGAAGAAGACACCCGGTCAATAGATGCTGTCGGGCTCGTGCCGGGCAGGAATCGTGGCTGAACCTCTTGAGTCGTCTTTTGAAGAAATATTTGTATGATCCCAAGCAACATTGAGGCTAGGAGCCTTTTCAAGACGCACTCTGAATCAACATTGCCTATGGATTCCTCCATCTGAATTTGACTCATGTCAATATCGATCCTGATGTACTTGACTTCCGATTGTGTGATCACATCAAAACACCGGGTCACGACTCACATGTAAGCTCCATGTAGATTTTTGGGACCTGCAGCCAGCAACCAGACTCCCACTGGATACCGTGAGCTTACGACGTGGCTAATCAAAGATTTCTAGCTAGCGGTACCTAAGAGGAATGAGCCAACAAAAGTCTCGAATTACTCGACCCCCTGTCCAGGGGTCTTCTGGAAGACCTTGTAGTAGTATAGTCTTCAAGTCTTGTAGTGGGTCTCCCCATGACCACAGCCTAGTGTACAAGGTAATATCGCAACAACTCCATAGAGCTGCGTATGCCAAGAGACCAACTTACCAGTTACCAACTGAGCTGGAGTGGAGAGCCGCTTTTTCGCCATCATTGCTGCGTAGGACTTGCTAGTGTAGTATACAGATACCTTGCGAGCGAAACCCAGGAATATCAAGAAATCCGATAGGCTGAGTTTATCATCCACTGTTGAGTAGCGCCGACCCTGCAAAGTAGGACGCTCCACCTTTCCGGCCGAGTGTGACAAAAATTACATGCTATTTATTCCCCCTCGATTCACAGTAAATCACATCTCGATAAAATTACAAAAGATATTCGCTCGGCAGCGGCAAGTGGAGATCTCTGGCTGGGAGCAAGCGTACAATCGATCTCAATTTCGGCTGGCTTAGCCATCTCCACGAGGGTACGTAGATAGATGTTGGTGGCCCTGTTTTGTTTGTTTGGGGCGGCGGCGGCGGCGATCGGCTACTGATGGCAAGATTCAAAGATCGTCGAGGATGATCCCGTAAGACAGTACCACGGACTTGCGGCATTCAAAGCACAGGTGATTGCGATTCAGGATATTTGATATTATATGACAGGATATCATCATGTACTGCTGTGCAATAGTTTAAATTGATACCGCCGCCTTCACACGTCATTATCAAGGGTAATAAGGCTGAGAGGGACAGAACTCGAGTATCATTCTTCGTAACGAGCTGGCCAGGGCCGATTGTATCTACGGTAGTGGCCTTGCATGAGTTCTAGGGATATAACAAAAAAGAAAACACTAGCCCGCTAACACATCAATGTTCTTCTATACCCGAAAAGGACCAAAAGCGCCTGTCAAACATTCCCCATCGTGTAGGCCAATCCGGAATCGTCGAGTCAGTTATCTAATAGTACAGTATCAATCAATCAATTCACATCGTACAATCGCCACGATCAAACACCAATAATCAACCCGACTTTCCCGAGTCTTTTCAGATCTTGTGATGCGCTGGAAAAAAGGGGGAAGGAGGGGATTCCCGTCTGTCTGTTGGTGTACAAGGAGCCTCCACTCCTGATACAGGAAAAGAGAATAATTTCAAACGTAGATGAAAGAATCTCGGTTGATTGTCAAGGACAAATATGCCGCTCCCCGCCTCTCCATCCCCAAAGCGACATTTTTGCTACACAACTTAGAGGCACAGCTGCTGAAAGCAAATGTCGGGATTCCTCCACTGGGCCACTGCACAGTCCAGCAGGTTATCTTCAGTGCAGGACGCCGGCGTATCGTCATGGGCCGCGACCCTAAAGTCATCCTCTACATCCTCATCGTCATCGTCGCCGTCGGTCTCATCTAGGTCGTCGGTGGCAGCAGCTGTAGCGTTGCTGGTCTGGCGCCGCCTCAACTCTGTGGCTCCCATTGTCGTGCAGACTTGAGCAAAGCATGATATCCCATCCAGCCCTAGAGATGCGACACACTGTGCGATGGAGTCCGGGGTACAGCTTGTGAGAGTATTCGAATTTGTCTTGTCGTGCCCCAATGATATGCTTGATGGGCTGGACGGTGTGGAGGGCGTGGGCGGGCTGGCTGGGCTTGACGGAGCTGCAAATGCTACCGAGGCGCTCAATGCAAATACTGTAAGAATCTTCATTTCTTTTTTCCGAGATATAAGTGACTTTGCGGATCGGAGAATTCGCTTGGGGAAGCGTAGTGTAGGGTGATGATGCGTTTAATGGCAATCTGCAGCGGTTCCTCACAAAGACGAGATGCGCAAATGTATTACGTGTTCAAGATCTGCGACAGGACCCAACGATCATATCTATATATATGTATATAAAAAGAAAAGCCGTCAATAGGAAGCCCGGCACATGGCAAAAGATCTGAGGAGACGTCTGTGTGGTCAGTCGCATATAGGCTGGAAACCATGGTGGTGGCTTAGGCAGGTACCGGAACAGAAAAAGAGAGTAGTGGTGTGGACAAGGCAAGCAGCTGGGATCTCTGAAACTCGTCAGAAGATGGGACTCTCCCCTTGGACCGATTGCAGACTAGAGCTCCGGGAGGGTTGCGGCTGAACCAAGCCAATGGCTTCCCAACTCTGGTGTTTCGTAAATCGGCATTGGGAAGAGAATCCCCTCTGTTTGATGTGCTCGTCACTTTGATGAAGTCGTCATCCACCAACAAGCCTCAGCTCTCCTCGAGAGCCCTAGTCGGTATCTACAGCACCTGTTTCTGCAGTGTGGTGTCAATTGATGGCAGCAGCGATAAGTGGTTGGACGGTGAAACACTTCAACTCCGCCCATGCCTAGCTGTGTCACGATTACATCTCCGGAGATGCGATAAGGGATCTAAATTCGTGTACTTCTCGGCCAAGCAGCACAAATTCATCGACGAGGTTATTGCTTGCATCTTCGTCTCAACATTGTGTGTGCACTTTGTCTTTTAGAAGAATGTTGCCCATTCCAGAATGAGTGGAAGCCCGGCAAATGCCTGGGGCCCCTCTGGATCATGCTTATTTGTTCCACGAGCGTCCCAAGTTTTCCCCACGTATGGATGAACCCTTGGCCTAGATCCTGACTTCAGATCATGCGATTTTCCTGGTTCGAGAGGTTCATCATTTAAGTAAGCTGGAACCAAACTCTTTTCCCTTCCCCCCCTGGACTACAGTTTCATGGCATTTGCCCCCTTCATTTGTCCGCGACTCTTTTTCTCGAACAATGCAACCTGCTGCGGCTGGCTTACACGGACAGGACACACATTTTCTACCGCCGGGCATTGCCCGAGTCTGTGCGCTGGAGTGCCTGTAGCTGCCTCGAGGCAGCCAAACTTCTCTGCATCAGGCCAGTATCTTCCTCGAGAGATGCCAAGGTGTGTATCACAGTAAATTACGACAGCGTGAAACCCATAGTTACCTCAACGCCGCCGATATCTAGGGCTTTCAGGTACAGGACCGATTGTCCACTCTCTGTTAGGGGGCTAGTCGGCGCCATATACCAGTTTCATTCCTCTTGGCAGGATAACCACCACGACAATATCGTAGCAAAAAAAAAAACTCAAGTTGAAATGTCCTATTATCTTGATCGAGATCCTGTCAAGTCCAATTCCTAAAAGTGGTAATGACAACGTGACATGACTGATATCACAAAAAAGCGTTGTACATCTACTACTTGGCCGCTATAATCGCAGGCGAGTAGTGCTGTATCCTATCGGGCGGGCCGCCCCTAGCTCTCTCCGCTGGAGGGCCACTCGCCTAAAAACCCGGCGCCCATCTCTAGCACTGCACTGGACCCTCGGCAGCATCACAAAGAAAAACTTCGGCCTCGTCCGTCTCGGCAGCTTTGGGTGAGTGGATATCCGGATAACTGGGCCTCTACGTATATTATACTAAATAATCCAACGCGTCAAGATTTGCTCTAGTATATTGGGATAGTGGGACATTTATTTTTGGAAATTGATAGACTGTCGTGATTCAGATAGGTACAGGCGCACGGAAGTGGACTAGTATCAAGAAGTCGTTGGCTGGATAACAACAATCACGCCGACTTTTCGTGCCCATTTCGGTGCCTGCGTGGCCATAACCTACAAGCTTTCCTAGTCGTAAAATCTACCTGGAATATACTACAAGTCATTGCGCTCTGTGTTTTTCATCATGTCTCTATAGTTCTTTTCATAGTATTACCACTCTGTGGAGCGTCGTTCGTGACTCGGGCTATCGTCTGGACCTAGTCAAGTTTTTTGTGCCAGAATTACCGAGGTCAAAAAGCCGATGGCGCCAGTTCCACGCCACTGCCGTGGTAAGATGCTCGGTATCTCAAAGATACGATTTCCCTTTTTTAATTTTCCAAAAGCAATACAAATTACTTGCACGTGTTTTCTGTTGTTAGCTAATCCTATGAAGTTTGCCCTACCGGAAGCGCCTTTAACATTTGCGTGTTGTCCCATGTCCAATCAGTGATGCTTGGCGTTGGGGTTCGACTATACAGAGCAAACTACACTAGCCGAAAACGTCACTACCAGGGTGAGGCGAGCCCCAACGTCTTTGCTCATTCGTATCAAGGACCTTGGGCGACGATGGTGTCCATGATGTTGATGTTGCTGTTGCTGTTGCTGCTCATGCAGAGTCTGCGGCCAACGAAAGTCTCACCATGGCCTGGCCTAGGACTAAAAAGTGAACAAGGTTGGTATCACCTCATCTTGTAAGCACTGTCCTCATGATTTCAAACAACATTATTCAAGCCGTTTCGAGTCTGTAAAGTTTGATTTCCGACCGCCAAAGTGAAAGCAAAATTGGATGAAATAAGCACTAGATTTCCCAATGACGCTCCTTACGGAAGCATTTTCAAGAAATACTTGTATTCATGGGAACTTGTCCCGGAATCAAACGCAGTACTTGACCACTCAACAAGTCAACAGTAACCCCCATCACCACAATTTCCCATATCATGAGAGACCACATCAACAAAAGGCCAGGTGAAAACGATCATGACGAGAGGAGACTGGCCGAACTCGGCCACGCGCCAGCGTTCAAGCGCCAGTTCAGCCGCGGGACCATGCTGGGCTTGTCGTTTGCCATTCTGAACTCGTGGACCGCCCTCGCCACGGCCCTGTCCGTCGCCCTGCCCTCGGGCGGCCCCGTGGCCGTCGTCTGGGGCCTCGTGGCGGCGGGGTTTTGCAATCTCGCCCTCGCCGCCAGCCTCGCCGAGTTCCTCTCGGCGTATCCCACCGCGGGCGGCCAGTACCACTGGGTCGCCGTCGTCGCGCCTCGGCCGCTCCAGAGGGGCCTCTCCTGGGTCACGGGCTAGATCAATGTGTCGGGGTGGGTGGCGCTCGTTGCTACGAATAGCTCTCTGGCCAGCACTCTGGTGGTCGATATCATCTCGCTTCTGAATCCGCAATATCGGTTTGAGAGGTGGCATCAATTTCTCATGTGAGTACTGACATGGCATGGCGTTTTTCTTTTGCTACTATAATAGTTGGAATCTTGATGACTCTTCTGGGGTTTATTGTTTAACTTTTCTTTGTGGCGTCTAACAATATAGGTTAGATGGTTCTCAGCATAGCAATTTTGGCGAGAAATGTTATTCTTTTCCCAACGTGAATAATTTAAGAACTAACATGCATCATTTTTCAAGCTATCTAGGAATCACGCTCGTCGTGTTTCTAGTAAACGTATTCCTGGAATCTTTGCTTCCGCGGATCAACCATTTTGCCCTCTTTTGGAGCATTGCTGGATTCATCATCATTTGCATCACCGTACTGGCCTGCGCAGCCCCAAAGTATGCCACAGCTGATTATGTCTTTGCCACTTTTATAAACACAACCGGATGGCCAGATGGTGTCGCCTGGCTCTTGGGCCTTCTTCAAGTGAGTAAAACTCTTGGCGCTGCGCTCCTTGCTGGCATGCTTGATGTTTGGCCATCGGGACAACTTTCTCTTTTGTTCTTACTTTCATATGACTTTCGATGATCCATTACGGCTCTGACGCCGATTCAAGGAGCAGTCACTAATGAAAATAGGGCGCCGCAGGTTTTACTGGGTTCGACGCTGTAGCTCACATGATTGAAGAGATTCCAAACGCAGCTGTCGAAGGCCCCAAAATCATGGTATACTGCGAGTACATTGGGATCAGCACTGGATTCATATTCATCATGATTCTCTTGTTTGTATCGGGAGGACAAACCAACACAACCGATATCATCACGTCACCGGCCGGGCCGCTACTCCAGATTCTCAACCTGGCAACCGACAGCAGAGCCGGGGCCGTGTGTCTACTAATGTTTCCGCTCATGTGTCTCGTCTTTGCCGGTACCGCTTGTCTAACAACTTCCTCCCGGATGATTTTTGCGTTTGCCCGCGACGGCGGCTTACCCGCTTCTCGTACGTGGTGGAAGACGCATCCCACTCTACAGGTTCCTCTAAATGCGCTCTACCTGAATGCGCTCGTAGTGGTCGTCTTTGGGTGCATTTACCTAGGATCGACTGTTGCGTTCAACGCCATCTTGTCAGCTACCGTCGTCGCGCTTGGCATCAGTTACGGCATCCCAATCGCCGTCAATCTGGTTTGCCTGAGAAGAAAGCTACCAGAACGGTCTTTTACATTGCCGGCTTGGCTTGGCTGGACAGTCAATATTATTTATTGGTTTGGCTTATACTGTGGTTACTACCATATTTTTCGTGTTTCCTCCGGCTCTCCCAGTGGACGGTTCATCGATGAACTATTGTATTGTTGCTTTTGCCGTAGTCATAACAATATCAGCTGTCCAGTGGCTAATCGACGGCAGAAGGAATTATAATGGCCCAAGAATTACAATAGTTGGCGTACAGGTCGACGCAGCGCAAGAATAGTATTGGCACAATCGCAGCAAATCAGAGATTGCTCTTTTGTCTTTCACTACGCTACGATGTACCAAGCAAATGTCACAGAGCGTCACGTGAATAAGGCTTCAATAGTTTGATCTAAAACGTTTCATTCGTCTACGGATTATTTTATCCGGCCTGTATCGTCATGAACGGCATCAATGTAGAATACATGTGTGGGTATGAGGCATTAGAGGGTGTGAAATATGCTGAACCAAGCAAGAGGAAACAATGAACCCCGACCAAAACTCCGTCGAACTTTTCAATTCCGAAATCCTGATTCAAGAGGCATTTAGTCAACCTCCTCCATGGTGCTGTCACCAGCAGCGGCGGCAGCATCATCAGCAGTAGCGGGAGCCTCAGCGGCCTCCTCGGCAACCTCCTCGTCCAGGTTCAGACCCAGAGAGACGAGCTTGTGGATACGCTCAGCAAAGCCAGCGGGCTCGTCAATGGTGAAGCCAGAGACCAGAAGGGAGGTCTCGAAGAGGAGCTGGACGATGGACTTGACGGTGCGGTCGTTCTCACCGTCAGCGGCAACCTTCTTCTTGAGCTCCTTGATGATGGGGGACTTGGGAGAGATCTCGAAAGTCTTCTTGGAGCTCATGTACGAGGACATGGAGGTGTCACGGAGGGCCTGGGCCTTCATGATACGCTCCATGTTGGCGGACCAACCGAACTGGCCAGTACGGATGGCGCAAGGAGAGCCGACAAGCTTGTGGCTGACGACAACCTTCTCGACCTTGTCGCCGAGAACGTTCTTGAGGGCCTTGGCGAGGTCCTCGTACTCCTTCTCCTCGGCCTCACGGGCGGCCTTCTCCTCCTCAGTCTCCTCAAGCTCGAAGTCCTTGGTGATGTCAACCAGCTTCTTGCCCTCGAACTCCTTGAGCTGAGTCATGGCGTACTCGTCAATGGGGTCGACGAGGAAGAGAACCTCGAAGTTCTTCTCCTTGAGAGCATCAAGGAAGGGAGACTTCTGGACGGCCTTGAGGGACTCGCCAGTGATGTAGTAGACGTTCTTCTGGTGCTCGGGCATACGGGTGACGTAGTCGGAGAGGGAGGTCAGCTCATCACCAGACTTGGTGGAGTTGTAGCGGAGAAGCTTGGCCAGGATCTGGCGGTTCTGGGAGTCCTCGTGGATACCGAGCTTCAGGTTCTTGGAGAAGGCGCTGTAGAACTTGTCGAACTGCTCCTTGTCCTCGGCAATCTCGTTGAAGAGCTCGAGAGCCTTCTTGACAATGTTCTTCTTGATGACCTTCATGATCTTGTTCTGCTGAAGGGTCTCACGAGACAGGTTGAGGGGAAGATCCTCAGAGTCGACAACACCCTTGACGAAGCTGAGCCACTCAGGGATCAGGTCAGTGGCGTCATCAGTGATGAAGACACGGCGGACGTAAAGCTTGATGTTGTTCTTGGTCTTCTTGGTCTCGAACAGGTCGAAAGGAGCGCGCTTGGGAACGAAGAGGATGGCACGGAACTCAAGCTGACCCTCAACGGAGAAGTGCTTGACACCAAGGTGGTCCTCCCAGTCGTTGGAGAGGGACTTGTAGAAGGAGGCGTACTCCTCCTGGGTGATGTCCTGGGGGTTGCGAGTCCAGATGGGCTTCTGCTTGTTGAGCTCCTCCTCCTCGATGCTGGTCTCCTTGACCTTCTTGGTCTTGGTCTTCTTCTCCTTCTCCTCGTCATCATCGACCTCCTCAATCTTGGGCTTCTTGTCATCATCAACCTCCTCAACTTCCTCAGCGTCCTCATCGGGGACCTCCTTCTCGGTCTCCTTGGTGACGTGGAGGTAGATGGGGTACGAGATGAACTCGGAGTGCTTCTTGATAACCTCCTTGATCTTGGCCTCGTTGAGGTACTCGCTCTGCTCGTCCTTGAGGTGGAGGATCATCTTGGAACCACGGCCAAGCTGCTCACCCTCAGTGTCGGTCTTGATGGTGAAAGTACCACCGGCAGACGATTGCCAGATGTACTGCTCATCATCGTTGTGCTTGGAGATGACGGTAACTTGGTCGGCAACCAGGTATGCAGAGTAGAAACCAACACCGAACTGACCGATCATGGAGATATCGGCACCAGCAGTCAGAGCCTCCATGAACTGCTTTGTTCCGGAACGAGCGATCGTACCGAGGTTGTTGACAAGGTCCTGCGTATGTGAGTCAGCACATGCCCAGCATAAACGAAAGGACAAGAATGTCAATAACTTACAGCCTTGGTCATACCAATACCGGTATCCCGGATGGTCAGGGTCTTGTTCTCCTTGTCGGGGATAATGTCGATGCGGAGGTCCTTGCCCGAGTCGAGCTTGGACGGGTCGGACAGAGCCTCATAGCGGATCTTGTCGAGGGCATCCGAGGCGTTGGACACCAATTCTCTCAGGAAAATCTCCTTGTTCGAGTAGACGGTGTTGATAATCAGCGACAAGAGCTGAGAAATCTCAGCCTGGAACTCGAAAGTCTCAGACATGTTGAGATGTGTGGAAAGGAAACGACTTCTGCAAGTCAATAATGTTAGCGATTATGTTGCGCGTAGAGGCTTGTGTTGATGGCAAGTGCGAGAATGATTTATCTCGATGCGGGTGAATTGGGATGTGAAATAGTTGAAAGATTTTTCCAATGGTTTCTGGTGGAAACCAATGGAATCTGCTCAGCCTGGTGGAAGGTTTTGGAAGGTTCCAGAGCAAAGAGCAGCGAACCGAGCAAACAAACAAGTTCCAGAATGCGAAAGCGGTAGTAGCTGCGTGCAATCTATGGATTTCTTGTGTAGCAGGTTCGAGAGAATTCGCAGGGGCAACTGGTGAAGTGCCTTGGGTGAACCGAAGCTCGTCACCATCGGTGGGAGCTTGGCCACGATTGTCGTCACAGGAAATGACTGACAATCAAGGCAGGAAACACACATTCATGTCCTCGAGGCATTGACTCTTGTTTGCGCTCTCCAAGGAAACACTTGACAAGTGGAATGCCCTCGAAGACAATCGAATGGCAAGGCAAGGCTGACGGTTTCGGGTGGATGGTGACGAGGGGAGCAAGAGCTTGCAACGGAGCGCATGTATTCACTTACCTAGAGGGTTTTGTTGAAGACGAATGGGGGTATCAAGAGGTGTCTGCAACAACAAAAACAGCAGATGCAGTTCTTGGAAAGAGAATAGTAGTGGGAGGAATGGGAATATGAAGTGGAAAGCGGAGGAAGTTGAGGAAAAGTTCACAAATTCCGTGCTTCTTGTACTTAGGCGCTCGTTTGCGGGATGGGCAAGCAGCTGGAGGATTCCTTTTAGGCCACCCCGGTTCTGTACTAATTCCAAGCCCCAAGAGAGAATTCGATGCGATTCCATCAGGCAGTTGCAGCTCGGTGGCACTGGCACTAAACTAAGAACGGTTACGCCTGCTGTGTGCGCGACCGCTGGTTGGCTGAAATCTGGTGGCGGAACCCCAGCAGCTTTCGCTCGCCCGGCAACAGCAAGTCGTCCAGGTCCCTGCAGCCATGAGGAATGCGCCCCAGTGATTGGCCGAAGAATCAAGACCCTTCCATCAATTCTCCAAAGTTCCAGAATCGACTGATGACAGACGGGAAAAGGCTGCAATGGATCGAGCACTGCGATTCTGCCTTGTGCCCCGGCTGTCTTTGGCACCCAATTGCTCCTACTATTTTCCATTTGTCTACAAGGCTGAACTAGCATCGGCAAGCATTTCATGCTTCTAGGATTTTCTACATTTCTCTACGAACTACCGGGTCTCGTCCACCTGCCGATTCATGGGAAAAGCTAGTGGCGAGGCTGGGGCTGGGCGCCCCGAGAAGCTCTGCTATCGATAAGATCGATAGCGGGACATGGTGGGGTATATCTGATCATTCAGCAAAGATCACCAACTGGTGGCAGCTGAGGTATACTCTTCTGTAGAGTCTAGACTGCCCGCATGTATGGCTACGGTGTTGAGGAACAACATGTGGCGACCGTTAAGTCAGTTCAATCTGACAGCTAATCTCGAAAAACTAGAGATATGTTTTCTTGGCTGGTTCGCGCGGCCCGACAAAGGCTGCTCCCTGGCATTAGTCCAACAGAATTTCATGCAAACTACAATCTTATTTTCAACACAAGCACAATGTGGCTCGTTGGCTCGTGTGGCTTCTATGCGACAAAGAGGAGAGATTTTCACATTTGACGAATATGAAAAGAAGTGACAGTCTCCACTAGAGGCCATATGCATATTTACACAAAATACTTGCCTTTATTTCGATAGCTACAAGTTCTACTTAGGACCTACTCATTTTTTTTTTCTTCTCAACTTTGGCTTACCTTCCTTACTCAACCATTGCAGATATTGGGACTTGTCTATGATAGATCATGACTTGCCAAAAGCTAAACCTCACCGCCGGACACCAATCTCGTCCAACTCTTCCTCAAGCTCCTCGCGTTCATTCTCAGCTGAGAGAATCGGCTTACCTTCAACGTGACCGTTGGGTCCCAATGGTTGGGCATGCTGAAAGTCAATAATTGTAATCGAACCATCTGCACGTTTCAAAAGGTTGCCGAGATGCAGGTCGCCATGATAAATACCCAGACGATGCATCTGGTCCACAACCGCAAGCACATTCTTGATCTCGGCTGGTGGGAGCTTACCTTTGGCCTTTGCCTTGATCTCCTCGTAGGATTGGCAATCTCTGATATTCTCCATGATGTAGCCAATGACACCACGACCTTGTTCGGTGACTAGACCAATAAACTTGGGCGCGAGTCCCAAGCTTGACATCTTGTAGTGGTTAGTAATCTCTGTCCTCATCTCTGCTTCTCCTGTGCCGAGAGGAATTTGATCATTCTCACCTATGGGCAGATGGTCGGGAATCTCCACAATCTTGATGACCACGGAATCTTTCAATTTTGGGTGCTTCGCAGCTTGTACTCTGTCAGTGCGTCGGCCACCACTGGCTGGCCAAGTCTTGACGGGGGTGAACTCTGAATACTCGGCTGTCATTAAATTTGGTGAACCACGGATATCATCGATGCCCGTCACACCTTCCAAAGGCTTCTTCGGTATGCCATTACCGCGAGCTTGAATCACTCGTCTGCAGCCTATTCCTGATGAAGCCGACAAGGTCCAAACCTTGCAATTATCAGACTCTGGAATTATGGAAAGATCAGGTTCAGGGCTTGTACTCGCCTTGTCCCACCCGGACGGGAAAATGTCTGCAGGCACCAGAATGTAAAGAACTTGACCATTGCGAATGGCGCGGATAATGAAGCCATTTCCATCTCTAGTCTTGTCCAAAACTGCCAAGACCTTGATAGACGATTTCGATTGGCCTGCCATCTTGTCGTATAGTGATTAGTTTGGGGTCTGAATGCTGTGTACTGTTGTTTGCGACGTTTGTGCAAATGGATCAACAGTCAAAATCGTAGTTCGACATGGCCTATAAATATACAGCTCGATACATCAGGCACAGTAACAACAACTCTTACACAAATTACTTGTCATATTATGAATCCATGGACAGAATTCGGTAACAAATGAGTTGTAGCTGGAACTGAGACGCATACGTAAAGGACGGCCTTTGTCCTGTCATTGTTGTTCCATGCTATTGGAACAAAGGCACCAAACAATAAGAGTGAAGAAATGAACAATCATGTCTTTTCTGGCCAATACCTGCTCAATTTCGGTATTCGCAGGCATCAATTGGATTTCATTATCTGCATATGCTGAGAAATTGTACTCGAGTCCCAGCACCTAGGCCTTGAAATTGTACTTTTGCCGGGCACGCTTCTCAACATACGCAGGCCAAATCTTGTAGAGATACTGGCCGATCGAATAGGGAAACCAGGGAAGGATGACATTTCCCGTGACTGCACGATCCACAGCATCAATACATCTCTGCGCAACGTAACCAATCTTGAGTCCAGTCTTGTTTGGATCTTCCTCGCGGACCGGCCCAGCATCCACAGCCGATGCACGAAAGTTGCCTTCTATGGTGGCTGGCAAAACAAAGGTGAAAGCAATCTGTGGATGTTCAATGGCCAGCGACTGGTACAGAAGAAGCGATGCAGCCTTGGTAGATGCGTACAGTGCTCTCGTGGGCGCTGGGATCACGGCAGCTACAGAGGAAACCAGCAAGATGGCCGGCGCGGACGAGGTTCGTGTAAGCATTGGAATCTGACAATGCCAATTCAGTATATACCCTTATCATCTCCTGCACGGGTCGTAAATCAACTTACAAATGTCAATGCTGAAACCAATGGTCCGTCAAAGTTTCCTTGTACTGCGCGACCAGCAATCCTCGCGGCTGCGTCTATGCCCGAGACCGTGGCATCTTTTCCGGGCTGCGCGCCCGTGAGGGCCATGACGGGCTGCAACGCCGAGACACCGGCGCAGACATGCAGAGTATCCAAGCCCTGCCATTCACCTTGGAGCCGATCTCTGACCTGCACCATGTCCTCTGCTTTGCTAAAGTCGGCCACGTGCCAGATACAATGATCGCCGCATTCTTGGGCCAGAGCAGAGATTTCCTCTGCCCGGCGAGCCACGACACAGACGCGTGCCCCGCGCTCCGCATACTGTTTGGCGACGGCCCGTCCGACGCCGCTGGATGCGCCGAGGATCAGCACACGCTCTTGGTCGTGCTTGAGGCGCCTATCCCTCCTTCGCAATCGGGCGCTGAGTTGGCGGCGTATATAAAACGCAGGCAAAGCAAGCGCCAATGCTGTGAGCGCTGTGCGAAGGACAGCCCCACCCTCCATGTTCATCATGGGCGGCGACACACGGGGTAATGGTGGTTTATCCGAGATCAGTTGTATCCAATATGAACAAACAAGAATTGAACTCGCCAAGTAAGGTCAGGACGAAGAAGATCAACGTGTTTACGACAACCTGTCACCCAGCTACCCAGGACGCTAAAGCTCTCCAGTAGCGGCACCTTTTAAGCACGTGAAAATGGGGAAAATGAAACATTTGTCTTGAAACTGGATTCGGCGCCATAGACAGATCTCAAGGTATAACAACAATCAATTTATTTCTGTTCAACACACCTTGATTTGTCTCAGTATTGGCATCATTCATACCAAGAGCTCCGAAACCAGATGTCACCATAGCCATATACAAGCAACGCCTATACTGTTTACCTAGTAGTCTCGGTTCCGACTTATACTCATTCGTATCATCAAGTAAAATGCTATAACTTGGAACCTGCCTCGTTGACCAAGCAATATCTATATCTCGGTTTACCCGTCTCCATATCTTTGAGGGCCTGATTTGCCTCCTTCATGGGCCTCTGCTCAACCCAAGCCTGTATCTTCTTGTCGGCGGCCAGTTGGAGCATCTCTCTAACCTCTCCCGCGGAGCCGATGGTCGATCCAGCAAAATTGGCCGACTTCATGATGAGAGGTGTCGGGGGGATGACGAACTGGCCGTCGTCTGGGTTACCGACATGAACAAGAGTGCCCTTTGGCTTTAGCAGTGCCAGATAGCCTTTCATGGGGGACTGTCAAGAAGATGAAGACCGCGGTCAGCTGCCTGCGAGTCTGCCGCAAATTTGGCGTGTCAAAGAAAACCGAGAGCAACACACCTTGGAGGACGCGACTGTCGATATCAACAAGTCGAGTTGTCCGTAATACTTTTTGAACCACCCTTTATCTCCCTCCTCGGTGGCCAAGTAGTCGTCAGCGCCCAGCTGTAGAGCCTGCTGGCGTTTACTCTCCCTCCTGGAAATGGCAATCACCTGGTCGGCGCCCATGGCCTTGGCAAACAGGACACCATAATGGCCCAGTCCCCCCAAGCCAATAATGCCGACCTTCTTTCCCGGACCACAGCCCCACAGCTTCAGTGGTGAGAACATGGTGATGCCGGCGCACATCATGGTAGCCGCTTGGCCAGATTCCAGCGCGTCGGGGATCTTGAACGCAAAGCGCCCAGGGCACCGGTGGTACGTCGCGTAGCCACCATAGCCTTTGTCTCCGTTGTGGTGAGGGCCAGGGTACGTCCAGCGGGCTTTGGGACAGAATTGCTCCTCTCCAGCCACACAGGCGTCGCATTTGGGCTTGCCTGGGAGGCCTTCGCAGTTGTCTGTCAGGCAGCCCACGCCGACACGGTCGCCAACGCGATGGTTGCCGACGGCTTTGGAGCCGACTCGGACCACTTCGCCCACGATTTCATGGCCAACAATGATTGGATAAGGTGCTGGGTACTAGGAAATCCGTCAGCTGTATTCTTTTGGTTCTGCAGTCTCGCCTTCAGGCAGCTCTTACCCACCCAGACCGCAAGGTATGAATATCGCTCCCACACCTACGACCGGTTAATGAATCGCCCTTGCCGGACCATTCCCAATAGACCTACATTCCACTGTGGGTTATTTTGATATCGATATCCGTCTCTTCCCATCTCTTGGGTTCAAATTCGGTCCAGACCATCTTGCCCTCTGCAGATGAAGGGTCGTGGCCTACCCATCCCTCGAATTTGTAATTTTGAGTTGACATATTGTTGTCTTGCGATGCTGTGATTAACGTGCTGCCAAAAGTATTCTCCAGCCGAGCTGCGTGATCTAGAGATGTCTCATGTTTTGGTTATACTACACCGCCCACAGTTGAGCAAGTGTCTATCGCGAGACACTGTGGGGTTTGTCTCTTCAGCCGGAGGAACCCGTGGGGAACCCTGAACAGAGTATGGGGTGCCGAGGTATGACGCAGATTGGTATAGTCTGGAGCCTGGAGCCAACAGCTTCTCGAACAATTTCGAACAATACATTCCAAGCCGGCTATTTGATTTGTAGCATCCATGGGTTATAGTGAATACATGCATACATATCACTACGAGTATTTCTGGTAGACAGCTTAGGTAAGAGTTGATGGCTGATCGCTCACGTAGTGGATAGAAATATTGCTTTTCAACAGATGTTGATTTAACTACTTGAACCAGCTCGTAGGGTATCTACAATTCACCAAGCTGGACCCTCTGATATGCTCTTTAAGGACATCCACTCCCACCATGCGATTCTAATCAAATCCTTGGTCTTGATGCTTCGAGTAACTCAGAAACCTTGGGGCGCACATTCTGAAAATAATCTGTTGCCACAGCATTCGAATTTTGGCTCGAGGCAAGCCACGGATTAAAAAAAGATATAGGCTCTGACCAGAAGCAAATGCCAGCCCGAGTATACACAACCCAAATCGAAATCTGGGACCTGAACGAAAAAAGAAACCTCCGAAGAGCCGAAGAAAAGGTGTGGACGCCGCACGACTCCGAAAATGTCGAATCCAATGAACGCCGGGCGATGTTTCGCTTTTCAAAAAAGAGGTCTGAAATTCAATGATGGGACAAGTAACAAAGTAAAGAAAGGAGCTGGTGCCGTTTGCAATGGTCACGATTCGAAATACTGTCATGTGTGAGTATCGAATTTGGAGATTTGCGGCTGTTTGCGCGGAACGGGTGCGAGAGGCGGTATTGTCCAAAGCTGCACGTCGCGATTGCAACGGCATATTGGTGTGTAAAGTGCAATCGCTGAAAATTAAGGAAAATCGTGACGTCGTCAGTGTCTGTCGGTCGCTCGGTCTGAGGTAAGTAGTCTATTGGGATCGATGCCACGGAGTCGGTCGGTAAAATATGTAGTCTAGACGACTACTTGAACATATGGATTCGAGCAAGGCTCTCACATGACCACGCAACAGCCGCAACCTGCTTCCTTCTTCTTTTCTTTCTCGGAAGGCTGCTGTGGCTCGGGTTCTTCTGGAGCGGTAGGCACTCTGGTAACCTGTATAGGTTGAGGTTGCGGCTGAGGTGGTGCTGATGGTAATCTTGGGCTTGCCATGGGCGTGACCGGTGTATCTTGAATCCTGGGCATGGTGGAATACGAGCTCGTACCAGGTCGGCTCAGTGTAGGACTCTTGGCATCGGCTCGCAGAGGCCATTCATCCTGCTTGTCCTCTACCGGGGGCTTTGGCAGCTCCGGTGGTGGTTCGCTGAATCCCTCGTCATTCAAAGGTCGGAACTCTTTGTCGTAGACATTTCCAAACTTGCCCTCCTTCTCCCATTTCTCCTGCTGAAGACGCTTTGCGACTGTGGGGAGAAGTTGCTGGTCTGGAGGAAGTCGAGGGTCTGGCTTGTACGCAGAGATCATCCACGGCGGATCACCTTCAGGCGCCTTAGGCGAGAGTTCGCCAGATCTCGTCGTGGGCCTAGCGGCATTCCCAGAGTCCTTGCCGGAGCCAGATCTCGTCTTGGGACGAGTGGTTGCAGTAGATTTAGCCGTGGCAGCCGAGGGCTTTCTTGTTCCCGTCGAAGGTGTCTTCTTTGGCGAGTTATCCGTGGCTGATCGTTTCGGTTGATGGTTGCCCGTGGTGGCATTCAGAGTAGTGCTGCCGCTCCTCGACCGGGGTTTGGATACGGCAAGTGAAAAGTCATCGTCCGGCGATACTGACCCTCCCGTCTTTCGCGCGCCCGTGCCATTGCGATCATTGGAGTCAATTGGGAAAGTACCCGGGCTTTGTCTAGCAACAGGAATACGCGATCCTTTGCCTGCAAGTGTATCGCTGGATATCCAGTACTCATCCGGAGATTCGGCTATCTCTTGGGGGAGACGCAGATCCCAGGCTGGGTTGTCCATTTCTGGGTGTCTATCCCCGGAAATAGATGCTTGAGTCGAATTCTTGCGCGATCTTGGTAGTGGTTGATGCTCCGAAGCATCAGTCGGACGGCGCCCACCCAGTTTCTCTGTACTACGTTCCCTTCGCGGACGACTCTGAGATCTAGGCTTTGGCAGGACGATTCCAGCGGCTTGGAGTTCTGCATTCTCAATCTTGGCTAACTTGTCCCTATGAATCCACCTGCTATCTTCGGTAGGGCCAGGGTCACTGTTGTGAGACTGCCCGCGCTTGTTGTCGGGACGAGAAGTGCTTCGACCGCCATTTCGCACTTATGAAGCAATGTTAGCACGTGGTCATGGATTTCCTACTACTAATCGCAAACAACGAATCAAGAATGATAGGTTCTAGCCATGGGAGAAGTAAAAATCTAGCAATGAACTCGCACCTTTTGTAGCAGGAAAAGGTTCACCGGGGTCCTGTCGTGCGAATGGGTCAATGTCGTCATAGTCATCGTGTACCGCGCCGTTTGTGGTTTCGTAACCACTTGCAAAGTTTCGGTCTTGCATTGAGTCCTACGGTGAGACGAACAAGTAGGGTCAGTAAACAAGACAAGCTGGGGCAGCCAACATGAGTAAAGAAATGATATGGAACCACGAGTTCCAAGCCAAAGGTGAAAATGGTTTTTGCAAAATGAGTTGCAAGTCAAGGCACAGAGAAGAGAGGAAAGCCGAGGAGCCTTTAGGTCAGAAATAGGTAACATACCTGGTCATAACCCGACGTGTAGGAAGATTTCCACACAGGTTCGTTGCCGTGGGAGCTGCTGGGAGGCGTCAATGTAGTAGCACCCGGTGCAGCAGAGGACATGGCAGCCATGTCGACCAGAGCCACCGGGAGTGTAAACGACCGTCTCGAATTGCGAGTGCCAATAACAAGGAATACGCAGAAACTGGAGGTTTTGTGTTGTTTGTGCGAGATACCGTAGGGATTCCTAGGCGGACCAGAGGGTTCGCGGCGGTTTGAGAGGGTGGAACAGCCTTAATTGGCCAGGCTTAGACTGAACAAAGAGTGGAGGGGGCGTCCAAGGAGCTTGAGCTTGAGCAGCAGCTCAACAAGATCAGCAGCGTCTGGTAGTCGGCCTCTTTCTTTGCTCTTGTGCCTGCTGTGTCTCGCCCGGAGATGAAGGCGTGACAAGGTAACAATAAGAGGGGACCCCCAGAGGAGCCAGAGCAGACGCTATGCGAGGCGACTAGCAGCAGGTATGGCAGTCAAAGGTCCGCCGGTGTGGGAGTAGCTCGGAAAAGTGCTTCGATAGTAGGTAAAGTTGGCAGACAAATGGTTGTAAATATTGACGTTTTGCTCTCAGTCTAAGAGGCGGGTTGGCTTGGTTTAGCGTTGGCGGCGGTCGAAGAGAAGAGCAAAGCGGACTGAAGCTTGCTGACTTCGAATCTTGTGCACCACGATGATTGAAGAATTGATCGGCAGCTCGTTTCCATTCACACTTGCTTTTTTCCTTTTGCTGCAAGCCTTTTTTCCCCTAAAAATCCCAATGCTTGGATGACGGAGGGCCCGACAATGCGAGCATGAAAAAAACAAAAACAAAAAGTGAGGTGGCTGCAAAGGAGAGGATGGAACCCAGGATAAGGGTGGTTCGAGCTGAGGACGGGTTCAGGGAGCTGCCGGTTGACGACGATTAAAAGACCCAGGCCTCGGTCTAGTTGAGGTGGTAGTAGGTAATAACACCCAGTACTGTACAGCAGATGGAAGAGGAAGAAGAAAAAGAAAGCAACACCACGAACCAGACTGACGACATTCACCTGCACGATAGAAAAGGAGTCTTCGCTGTCCTCTCTCTCTCTCGTCGAGACGGGATTTTTTTTTTATTACTACCTAGTGAGCGCGTCGACAGATTGAGAAGCCAATTTGCGTTGGACGCTTTTTTTTCGCCGGCCTGCAATCTTCTGGAATTGCATTGCTTGCTTGGACCTGGCTCATAGCGGGTCCCGCAGGAGACGCCGGGATCCAATGCCCACTGGAGCGGGGGGTTCTTCCAGGGGCCTTCTACTGTGGTAATGCGCTATGGCCGTTGCTGCTGGGGTGTTCTTGGCACCATACTGTTTCTGGTCTACCGCCTATCTACTTCTCTAATTACTTCCTGGTTCTCATGCAATCATCACGGCTCATCACTTTCGACGCGAACCGGGTCGAGTCTTCTCGATCATCGCTACCAAGACTCTCTGGTGGAAACACCTTTCCTCATATATATTCGACACAATTGCACTATTGAGACGCTGACACCATTGGGCTCGTCACGCTCGTTTTTTTTGGTTGGTTGGTTGCAGTGGCGGGGATTGAGGGCACCATTCTCTTTTACGATGTGTGCCGCAACCAAACCAGCCCCGAAGACCTTGATCATCTCGTGCATGCGTCTCTCCTGCTTCTATGGATTCCCGCCTCCCTCCAATTGGTCGGGTTCTTCCTGCAAAGTCTAGACAACCACCGGGCATCGATACACTCGCCGTTACCGAGATCCCTGCGAACCGTTGGGGTGGGTCAAATTGAGCTTAAGAAGTTGTGAAAGCAATTTGGTGCATGAAAAAAAGGGGTGCCATGAAGATGAACAGCATACCCAACTATGTATGTCAATCGTTGTCGTTTTCGGTTGCAATCAGCCACGAATTTCGAGCTGTCGCGATTTTTGCTCGTTCTGAAGAAGCACTTCTTGTCAATATTGTTGCAGGGTGATACAGAGAACGGATGTTAACCAAAGGGTGTATGGAAACAGTACGGCCGAGTGAGTTGATCAGGCCAGTCAATTCACCGTTACTGGCAGAAAATGAGCTCCAAAAAGCAACGGCAGGCATCCATGACCCACAGGGTGATTCTGTAGTCGCCGCTGTACTGAATTTGCAAGCAACCGCATCTTGAAATATTCGCTTTCCGCCGTACAGTATTCATGGGTGAAAATCACAGCCATGATCCTCACACTTGACTGGTGGCTGCCCCAGGTTTAAAGGTGCCTCCCGGCCGAGTGAGCTCCGTACGATGCCCAATCCCTGTCGACATATATTTGATAGACTTTGTTGTGTGCAACAAATTCCATGCCTTTCAGTGCCTGAATGAGCCATGCATTCTTCTTGAAAGCAACGTGGAGTCAATCATTGCTGATCGAATATAAGCTCAGCATCTGTTGTTATTATGGCCGTTATTCTTAGAAAGCAAGCACCATAGCCCACGGCAATCAGTATTACCTAACTAATCGAGATCACCATATAATTCGAGATGGGCATTCAAACTTTCCACCGTAGTGGGTACACAACCCCAGTGTAATGAGTGACCAGAAATATCCTTGACCGGGTCTGAGAAATTGTTACTGTACAGAATTGACCAGATGGCCCGAAGGATTGGCTCAAGGCAGGCTGTTCGAACAGGATGTCAACGTCACCTACCTGGCTATTGTCTCTGCAAAGGCACTCTCTCATACTTCAGTGAAGTTTCTCTTGGATAGATATTATAATCCACACAATCTATGTTATCGCTCGATCAAGCGTGATTAGGTACTACAGTGTTCAGATTTGGTCATGACGCAGCATGTTCAACGTGGAAACTACTAGTTAGTGTTCAGATAGAATGAGGGTATGGTGAAAGAAGAATCCGTTGTTGGACCACTTATGTGCACTGGCTCCGTGAACAGCAAAAGATTTATACAGATCTGTTATTAAGCATGAAGTCTCAGACACATGAAGTTGGGCTCCTATTTCAAGAGTAATAATATCACCACGAGCTCTAGATTGCAGTGGCCACAAGCACAGTCATGGTCACGTTGGATCGAGGAGTTGGCATGTCGAAAAGAAACAAAGATAGACTTGCTGGACTCGGTATTGAAATTTCAGTGAAAAATTTACAAGGCATCGATGAAGCAATGGCGTAGGTAAGTTTTGCTGTGCAGGGAAAGGGCAATAATGAAGAGAGTGCTATTCAGTACCAAGACCGGCATTGATGATCGAACGGAGCTCAAAAGCTTTCATAAGGAAGATTTGACTACTCCATCTCTACGTATACGAACTCGATACTCGTTTCTGTTCGTAGGATATTGACACGAACGGAAGGTCAAGATTGCACTCCATGCTTACAAGAACTCGAGTCACGCAGATGTCAACATTTCACAAGATCACAATTCAGCAAAATCAGATGGATGAAATATTTTGGGGGAAAATGAGCTTAGTTGTCTGCATCTAGGGTCTTTTTGTCCATCATAGTCTCTCTACACGAACGCTTTCCACAGGCTGCTCCCATGGCTCCTTCACAGCCCACCTAGGTAAACAAACCATCCCTTGTAGCTAGGTAGGTACCATTCAATCTTGACGATCTACATGCTATCGAGGAGTATTTCTCAAGCCAGGAGATCCACGGTCACTTTAATAATAAAAGCCTATGATAATTGGCGGCGTTGCATGGCTATTTCCAGCCTCATATAGGTATGGCAGTGGCACACGGGTTCATTCATACAACATTGACAATCAAGAAGTATGATCCTTACCTGAAATAATTACCGAGAACATATGTTTTGAATCATATTACTATCATGTCATATCACTTCTTAGTTACACCATTGCCCGTACCGTTGAGAGGTTGCCACCTCAATCGACTTATAGACAACTAGTAAGTAGAAAACGCTGGTAGCTCTACGGTATCCGTGAATCGAAACATTCTCTAACTCATTGTAAGATTTCCTTTCGGATTTCGATCCGAGGACCTCCAGGTAATATTTTGATTCAACTTCCATCAGAATGGCCATGCAGACCAAGAACTTGCACACGTGACTGAGAAATACAAAGCCTAATAACGGGCTGCTGTTCGTGCTCAACGTGACCTTGACTACCAAGTACATTGCGTCATAACTTCCTATCTTCTTATTATCCGTCTGTCATTTTTCTTTTTCCTGGTGTGTGACAATTCCATCATGATGCGGTTGGCTAGTTTGGCTGTTATGCTCCCAACTGCGTCGGGCATGAATGCACGATTTTCTCAAAAGGCCAATTACGCCGGCAACTGCGGGCTCGCTCGAATTAAACCAAGAATGTCCTAGGCAACTAGCTCGATGGCAGCAAGATGGAATATGTCACTAAGATTTAGGAACTTGGCACATGGACAACGGGGACTGGCAGTATCGAGACTTGTATGATTTGAAGCGTGACACTAGGATATCTAGATCAAAGAAAGCTTAATGGGTGGTTTTTTTATTTTTTTTTTCTGATATTGAAGCTATAAGGAGAAGTCTGGGTATCTCGGCGATGAAGTTTCAATGATGCAGGATTGTGTGTAGACCAATGCAGAGCATTCGAGTATTGACCTGATGACATCAATGGTGCATCAATTTTTCGGGACAATATGTGGAGGGTCGAGATTATACTGCTACGTAGGCAATATATTCTGTTGCAGAATAACGGCATCCTTGACCGGAAGCCACAAGCGAATGCAATATCCAACCATGGCCCTGCATTTGATGATGTAGAAATTAAATTTGACTATACGTCTAAACGCAAAATTGAATATCCTTTAGAAAAAAAGACAGTGAGCACGAATGATAGATCATTGCTTCAGACATTGTCTCGGATCAAAGGCAAGCATAGACGAAAATCACTGGACTTTAGACAACCCCACCGCCCTGATGACCGCCAACCAGATTGAAAAGAGGCGTTTGGAGGATATTTGCGCATCTGATACAGCGCGGGGAAGGGCGGTGATGCATCCTGGCTGGCTGGGGAAAACCGCTCGCATGCTTCCGTGCTGAGTGGGTGAGCGAATGGGCTGAAACATTCATTGTTGTACCTTCCTGTCCGAGGCAGGGCACGGGAATGGTATATCTTTATTCC